TGTAGGCAGAGAGTTTGGATGAAAAGATCCCAGTTTAGACTGTCAGATTAGAAACGTACATGAGAGGCACTGGTGCAGGTGTTCAGTTGGTATTTATTCATGGGTGCTTCAAAAGAGAAACTAGGTGGCAGGCCCTGGCACTCTTTCTGTAGAAGGGAACAGGAAGTATTCCTTGGAATAGAATCTTTGGCTTCAGATTCATGCAAATGGCAGAAAACAGACTTTTCTGCAATAGATAGGAAATGAGGTAATCATCCTTTTTCTCTGACTATCCTTCAAATGATTAAATTCATGTGTTTGGAAGTCATTCCTGGAATCAAAACCTCTTGTTGCTGTGTTGGTTTTGGTCTGCATTTTTTTTTTCTCTTGGCAAAAAATAACCAACAGAGACATAATGGACACCATGCATTCCCACAACAAAAATAGTGTTTTCCTATTTTTATGTTGCTCTTCGGGTCTCCTAAGTTCCCACTTCCATGCTTCTTGCCCAAATCTTCACTTTAGCGCAGTACTGAGCAACTAGCCTCAAGGTGTTTAAGAGTGGATTGTCCTTCTTAAGGGAACAGAACTAACCAAGATTCAATGCAGGCAGAGACTGTGGCTGTCTTGTTCTGTTTTCAAAAATTAGACAGCATCAGTGTCATACCTCAATGTTGAATTAAAATGTTGAATGAACTTGGGCACGTTGTTTTACCACTGCTTCACTTACCAAATGGAGATAACGTCTCTTAGAGTGGGATGAAAATGAGTACCAATACTTGCCAATTGCCTTAGGGCACATAGTAATTACTCAATAAAACTAGTTATTGTACATATTTTTGGATGCTGCTGTTTTATAGCATAGGACCCTGGGATAATAACTTGTCAAAGTTAGTAACTTTAGTTTTCCTGCCTGCATAATGAACTAGTCAAACAGTTTCAATTTTTGCCAGTCTGAGACTTTTAAAAAAATCTATTGATTTTAATCATTTGGGTGGAAACTCTTTTAAATTATATAGTTCCTTGCTCAGATTGGACTGGTGTGGGCATTCCCATGTTGGCTTCCTCTATGATGAGAGTCCATCATCACACTTCTCTGTGTCCACTTGAAGCCATTTCTTCAAACTGTCCTTTCTCTTTGGACTTGGTCTCTGTGGAATTCAAATCTGATAAACAAGGTTGTTGTTAGAACACTGTCTCTAATTTGTGTAATTTCTCCCTGAATGAAAGGCTGAGAGCATTCCGATGAGCAAGATAACATAAGGCTGGGCGTGCAGGAATCTTCGATGTGCTGTGATTGTTCAGAGGCCACTCTGAAATTTTCTTGTTCTAAAATAGCTTTTGGTCAGATGAAGTCTCCAGATTATGATCCCTTATGTGAAGAGAAACGTTACTAGATAGAGTCTGTGATTCCTAAAATCTGACGATAACAGCACAGTTGGTTGGGGACTAAAATCTGGAATCACTGTTGGGGAAATGAGAAGGAGAAAACACAGTATTCATCAGCTCTCTTAAGGACAGCTGTGAGGGCAGCACTCCAGTTTAAACAGAGAGCTTGGGTGAGAAGCCAAGTGTAAAGAGGGCCTCAGCAATATATTCCCTCTGTGCTGAGGTTTGTCACATAAGTCAAGCTAAAGACTAGAAAAATGGGAGAAGGGGGCTAGTCAGGCAGAGGGAGGCAAAACAGTTTCTGAACAAGGTAATAGAATTAGATCTTGAATGTCAGTAGGAATTTTTATTTCTTTGTTTATGCATTTCCTTCCTCTAGCATACTTCTGATTTCTTCCCTTCTTCCGACAATGGCACTTTGTGCTGTTGATTCTCATTCCCCTTATGTGTTGTAAACTTGAAGGGTAGATGGTGGCGGAGGACTCCCCATGGAAGAGTTCAGGAAGATGAACAGAGCAGGTGTGGGCTTGCACTGGTCGGATTTCCGGATGAGAAATGGAGCTGAGTCATTCTCATCTGAGGTCTTAGTGGGACATAAACAGCCTAGGAATCAAATGGCGCTGCAAAGTGGTCAGGAGAGCAGAAGTCCCAGAGACTCCAGTTGCAGTCACTGAGGGGAAAACTCTTCAAGGGGCACAAAGGCCCTTGGCTGTTGAGGATGAGGGTATGGAACTCTGCAGATCAAGGAAAGTGAAGCAAGTTCATGCCTGTGGGTGGCAATGAAGGAGGCAGCATGTGGGGCAGGTGCTAGTTTTGCTGCAGGTATTGTTGCTGATCTGTAACAGACTGACTTCCGACATGGGGTGTGGAGGGGCTCATCCTAGCATTTGAAGTCCTGAATAGAACAAAAAGACTGGGCTCCCTGAGCAGAAGAGACTTCTCCAGCCCTTCCTGCAGAATTCACATGTACCCTCAGCTCTCCTGAAGTTGCTGACCTACATACCAGATTTGCACTTACTAGTCTCTACAGTTGTGCGAGTGAATTCATTGTCATAAATCTCATTCTGAATATGCACATCCTATTGGTAATGTTTTTTGGGAAACTCTAATACAGCGGGTAAGGACATTATTTTGTTTTTTTAAACAATTGTTCAGTCTTAAAAAACTTATGAGTTATGTAAAATGCTCTTCAAACTTTATAATTTTATTCTGCAAGGAGGGAAATTAATGATATGGATAAGCCTGTGCATCAAGACATTAAATCAAAACACAAGGCTTTTGGTAAATGAAAATTCATTTCCTATAATCATGTGAGAAAAGTATGAGAAATATTTACTGACATCATTTATAGAGGAATGCTAATGATATTAAGTCTAAATATAACCTAAATATAGCCTAAAACTACTCGACCTAAAAACTACTAAAATAAACTACTCTGATTTATTTGACATCCAAGGCTAATACCTATACCTTATAACTCTCCAGCTATGTCTTTGAACATTATTTCGGAATGACCAGAGTATTAAATCATCCAAATTTAGCCTTCATTTATTGGATAAAATTGTGCTAATATTATTTAGAGTCGTACATGAGTGTAAAATATAGTTTGACAAAACACACAGCCGTGTCTCTCAATAGAGATCACTCTTTTCTTTCTAATCAATGACAAAGAGAAAAGAACATGAATTTTGGTGCAGATCACACCATAGTCCAAGTCCTGGTTATTACTACTTATAAGCTACTGGCCCGTGAACATAGTCTTAAGTATGCTTTACTCTTTTGAAAAATGGAATTAAACGACTCTGTTTGAGAGCTGGGAAGATTTGATGAATTAGATTATGTCAAAATGTCCACGATGGAGCTGGCACACAAGTATGTCCTTGATGCATCAGATTTCCTTTCCTTTTTAAAAAACAGCTCACAATTATAATTTTATAGTTTTAAATTCATATTTCCGTATGAGTTATGAAACAGAGAATTTCACTAGCTGTAAAAAGTTCCAGGATCATTAGTTTTACCCAGTATTTTTCTAGGTAAGTCAGCTAAGCCCTGAGAGCATTTTCTTTGCCTCAGGGCACAACGTTTATTTTGGGAAGAGCAGGGGACATTTGTTTTCAGAGTCAAAGTGAAATAACAGCTTTCTTATCTGACTGATCCAGCTTTGAACCCAGACACCACTTTCTAGTTTTGCAACCTGGGAAAGCTGTCTTTGTGTCTCAATTGCTTTATCTTTAAAAAGAGGACCTTCCTTCTGCATTAGCAACCTTAGCAGGTGCCTTGCCTTAAGCCGTTCGGATTCCCATTTTCTCCAATTCCTTTGAATCCTCCTGCTGCAATAAGAAGACAGGTCTTCTGGTCCCCAAATCACATCCCCTTTCCTACTTATGCCTGTTTTGGCCTGACCTTGAGCCAAGTGCTTGGGATAATAAATTTACTCTTGTGCTTATTATCATCACACTGCCATAGACTCAACCTTTTTCAATGTCTAATTCAGATTCCTGCTCTTTGGTCCAACCTATGTGGCTACCATTCTCACCACTTTACAACCCACCCCAGCTTTCTCTCTTAGCTTTATTTCCTCCTTCAGATGAGCTATCAAGAACTTGTGTTTTACTTTATTCATGATTTTGAAATCAATGTTTGAGCATTGCATTGATCTCACAGCCATATAAATTACCCTGATGCCCTGCAAGGATCAGGTGTGTTTTTGTTCTGAGTCTCGAGTTTGATTGGGTTGGACGCTTAGGGTCTTTTGATTTGAGGCCAATTGGTGTTAGAGAAGATTCGGGGTTAGGAATTTGCTCTTAGACACCCTAGTATTCACCGGTCTACCTAACTCTCATAAAACACAACCTCTACAGACTTTTCCATCCATATTTCAGAGTTGCATAATGCCTTCCAACCTTGTAAAACAATCATTCATGGATATGTCATAGTAGGAAGTGGGCACTCGGGGGTTAGTTTCTGAGTACCAGAAACACAGTGCATTCATCATGTCTTGTATTCAGCTGGGCCAAGACTGAGTGCACTTGTCCTCTCAGCCTGGCTTTGTGCCCTGGGATCCTTGCTCTGGGTAAGGACATCATCATCTGCTCGTGAGCAGAACTGGACACCCTAACCATCTGACCACATTCCTTCCTCTCTTTTCCTCCCAGCATCAGATCTGTCACCAAGTGTTAAATGTTCTGTAAACATAACTTGAAAGAACGGGTGCTTTCTCAACTGCAGATTACCAGCTATCAGATCTTACACAAGAAGCACCATCCTTTTAGGACTTTTATCTATAAAATGGGCAAAAAAACTGTTTTGTGCTCACCTTGTGGGATTTTTAAGAGAATCAAGTAAAACACTGCACCTAAAAGCCAGGCAAAAGATTACAAAGACTGAACAAATGCAGTGTTTTTTGTATGTTGGTAGAGTAAATCATCTTACTAAAACCTGGTTTCCAGTTGACTTTGGTTCTTGTTTTACTTGAAATAAAATATTATTTTCTTCTCTTTTAAAACTGGCATTACAAAGCATAAGTGAACTTGTACTTCTTCAAGACAAAGCATGGAATGTACGACATAAAAATCAAGACTACAGGGAAATGTGCTTTGTGATTTTTACTCTGTGCATGGTTTCTTTTCCAGGTGCCCGTGGTGGCCATCCTGGGTTCCGGTGGGGGTTTCCGGGCCATGGTGGGATTCTCTGGTGTAATGAAGGCGCTGTATGAATCAGGAATTTTGGATTGTGCTACCTACGTTGCTGGTCTTTCTGGCTCCACGTGGTTAGTATGCCTGTTTGATTTTAGTTTTGTCGTTCTAAAGGTGTAGAATTCATCCAAATTAAGCATTAGAAGAGAAAACGGATTTAGAAAATTGAGCATTAACTTCAAATTATTGAAATGCCTGATACCACAGTCCATTCAACATGTTTATTTAAAAGACAAATCTATGCCTAGTAAGGACTTTGTCATACCTCTGCTTCTTTTAAGCCTGTCTTTAACATACAATGTAGTTAAAACATAAAAAGAGACCAACTGAAGAGAATTCTAGATAAATATCACAGAAGTGGAATAACATACTCCACCCATAATTAATTTAATCTTCCTATAATTTGCTGATTTGTGGTCTTTCTGCAAACATGTCTAAGTCTATATGATTCACTAGGTATTCATTTTCTTCTTTAGGGCAAATAGAAGGAAATGCAAGATACTATAGAATACAGAAGAAGAAAAACAATGATTTAAAGCAAAGATATGATATGTTTCACTGATTTGTTTCTGAGTGTGACATTATTTCCTTTGATGTTTTTAAGTTCAGCTACATTTAGGTGGAGAATTACAGCGTCTATATGCATAACATTTATGTCTATTGCTTTGCCTTTTAACAAATGTAAAACATTTCAGAGATGATGCTACATTCTTTCTGGTTTGCCTAGCCCCCAAAAGCCAATTGAAAATCAAATAGAAGTTCTTGTTCAGATGTGATACTCAAATCAGTACCACCTTCTTACAAAAAGTCTGACCCCAGCTTACAAGACCTTTTTAGTCACCCAGCCATGGCAATGCTTGTGTATCATAATATTCTATTTTATATGTCTAGAATGTTAAAGCATCTGTGTCATTTCTTCCTGTGAGGTGAGTATGAGTTTCTTCATTTTTGAGCTAAAGAAAATTTGACTCACAAGCCAAGTGATTCGTCCAAGATTGCCAGCACATAAGCTCAGGCTCTTCATCTCCCTGTACATTCCAGTGTTCTTTCAACTAAACCAGTCTTCTTATGGACAGCTAGATGGACCAGATAGAGTTCCACATGTAATAATCCATAGTTTCTAGAATATCTGGCACCATATTCCGTGGTTAAAAAATAGTAACCCAGGGCTGGGGATGTGGCTCAAGCGGTAGCGCGCTCGCCTAGCATGCTCACCTAGCATGCGTGCGGCCCGGGTTCGATCCTCAGCAGCACCACATACCAACAAAGATGTTGTGTCCGCCAAGAACTAAGAAAAAAATAAATAAATGTTAAAAATTCTCTCTCTCTGTCCCCCTCTGTCTCTCACTCTCTCTTTAAAAAAAAAAAAAAAAATTAAAAAAAAAAAAAAAAAAAAAAATAGTAACCCAGAGATGTGTTTGGCACCTTCTTTATTTGTACCTCAAAATGATTTACCTCCTCTGAAAGAAGGGTGTAGCCCATCATTATTATTTCCCTTGAAGGAAAGAGCAGGCACCTGCCTGTTTAACGAGTCCTGGGATGGAAAAACTTGGACCCTTACATTACATTTCCTACTTAATCATTTTGCTATTATTCTTTCAGTGAGTGTTTTTCTGTTACTCAAAAAATTTTAGATTTCTGTGGCCCATTCTGGCCTACTGCAAGAAGTTTGCTTTCTTAAACTTCTCTGATAAAGAAAGTTCAGGCTTTGAGTGCTGATTTGGGGTATGATTGTGTATACATGGACTGAATTAGAGCTGCAGGCATTGCTTTGGTTACAGATTTGGGGCAGTATCTTCTTATATTCTCCTGTTGAGGGGTCTGAAAACAAGTTCTATGAAATGTAATTAAGAGAATTTTAAATCTGTACACACAGCTTTTATGTATGAGTAACTTTTGCTCAATCTTTCAAAATCTTAAAGATTCTCTCTCTCTCTCTCTTTCTCTCCCCCCCACCCTTGTATTCCATTTCTTTAAGGGACAGGCACTCCTTAAATCCTTACAGTAGATTGACACTCAAGGACCATTTAATTTCCAAATATGACAGTGCCTTTGAAGTTCTTCTTTTCCCTGACTTCTTTGGGGGACAGGGGACAGGAGCTGAGGCATGTTACACATTGACTTGTCCCTCTTCCCAGTTGCTCCTGTCCTGACTTTTTGGCTCCCTTTCATCCTCTCGGGTCGCTCTCTATACTATATTCTCTTTGCTGCTCACAGCCCCTTCCCCCTGATGCAGGCTTTCCTCCAGCATCTCCCTTGAGCTTTACTTTACCTAGACATCCTTCCTTGGTGATTTCATCAGCTCCTACTACTTTAGCTACCACCACCAACAGTTTAATTTGTGGAACCCCAAGTGTCTAAAAACTTAATAGACAATGACACCGCAAAGAGACTTTAGAGGAAAGTCAAGTAAAGGATAAGTCCCAGGAGGCAAGGGTGGAAAGTGCTTTGAGATTGTGTTTTTTTGTTGTTTGTTTATTTTGTTTTGTTTTGGTCCTGGAGATTTATCCCAGGGGCACTTTACCACTGAAACACATCCCAGCCCTTTTATATTTCTTAATTTTGAGGCAGGATCTCACTAAATTACTTTTAGCTTTCCAAAGTTTTTGAGGCTGGCCTTGAACTTGCAAGCCTCCTGCCTCAGCCTCCTGAGTCACTGGGATTTTAGGCACGTGCCATCATGCCCACCCAAATAGTGGTTTTTTAAAAGAGAGTTTAGAACTGGGTTTGGAGAGCTTCAGTGGTTTTGTCAAGAACCATTTGATAAAGTAAATAAGTGTACTTTTTGATTGTGAAAACACAAAGGATAAGAAATGAATGTTTCCAGGGTGAAAGTGCAGAAAGTGGGAATGGGAATGTGGGACATGAAAGAACTATCGTTTCAAGCACTTTGGTCAGAAAAGGAAGAAAAGTACAGTCAATATTTGAACACAGTGTAGAGTTTGAGGAAGGGTTTTGATTTGTTTTGTTTTCAGCACTGAAGGTACTTGAGTATTTTTGTAGAAGTCTGAAGTGAAGGAATTAGTGTGGAGAGATGGATGAAGGATAAGGAAATAAAAGGATCACGGATAGAAAAAAACGATTTAGATGGCCAGGCATGATGATGCACCCCTGTAATCCCAGTAGCCCAGAAGGCTGAGACAGGAGGATCTCAAGTTTGAGGCCAGCCTCAGCAACTTAGGGAGGCCCTAAGCAACTTAGTGAGACCCTGTCTCTAAATAAAATAAAAAAAAGGTCTGTGGATGTGGCTCAGTGGTTAAGTGTCCCAGGATTCAATCTCTAGTACCCCAAAAAAGAAAGAAAGAAAAAGATTTAAACAGAAACAGGAGGCAAGATAGAATGCACAGATGTGAGCCATAAAAAGAGGAGACATGTCCATGAGACAGAAGAAAATGTGGTCCGATGATTCATGGTAACAATCCTGTCTTGAAAAGGATAGTGAGAAAATAAAAAGTTCAAAGGAAGGAATTCGGGAAGACTGGGAAAAACAAATTACACTTCTGGGTGGTGTAAGTTTTTGTATTCTGCTGATATGTGACCATTATTTAGCAGAAATGAGGTAACATGGAAATATCAGGAGAAGCCCTGGACCTCCCAGAAAGTTTTCTGTGAACACAGAATAGAATTCTAGATAGTACAAACGTCCCTTCTGGATACTGCCTTTATGGTCGTTATTTTTGGATGTTACCTGTATTTCATTAAATCTAGGTGTGAGCCATAGCTTGAGTAACCTAGGGGAATGACGGTGGCAGACTGTGTTCTCTGAGGGTTTCAGCACAGTTCTCTTCCTCAGGGAAACTCTTCTCTTACAGCATTAAAGTGGCTACTGGATATTAATTGTTTATAATATTATTATTATTAATAATAATAACATTATTATTATTATTATTAATTGTTAATAGTAACCTTGGCGGTGTTATATCTAGAGCAAAATGTGAGTATCTCTGTATCTATGGACAGCAGGGCCCAGGCCATCTAATTGACTAAAATAGAATTTGAGAATAAGAACTTTCAAGTTTAAAAGTATGAAGAATTCCTGGAACATGGTAAAAGGAACAATTTTAACAGAAGTTGTCACATGAATAGGGATAGGCTCAAAAAGCAAGACATAAGTAGAAAGAAGATGTTGTTTGAAGTGGGCACTAAGCTTGTCTTGGTCCCTAATGAATCCTTCCAACTTAGCGCAGTGCCTCAGTTGCCTTGGGTGGTTTTTGAATGGCTAAATGAGGACATGTATCAGTGACTGCATTTTATGGGGAAAATTCTTGTAGAAATTTCTCTAAGGTTTCAGGATATTTGCTTCATAAATGTAGAAGATCTTCTCAACTCATTCCAAATTCTAGCTGATGTATGAGAATCACTTTGATATTTTTTAAACACAAAAATTCCAAGTGTATACCTCTGAATATTCAGATTGAGCAAGTCTTGGGGATTAGGTACCGATATCTTCAAACATGAATTGTATGAGTTAGAGACAGGGATTTAACTGAAAATTTCTTCTTCTCTGCCATCATTTAGTTTTTAAAATTGCACACTTATGAGGCATTTAGATAGGCGTTGCTTCAGAAAAATATGTTAAAAATGAGAGGAGATGTTTACAGAATCATAGATTAAATAAGTATAAGACCCTTTCATTTACTAATCAGTTACAGAAGCTGTTAGATGTAAGACACCCACCTTTTTGAAACTTGATTGGTATAATTGGAAATTAGTTGTTAGTTAAGAGATCAAACTACATAGTTAAAAATTGGGATCATATTTTTATACTTTAGATGGCATTATGAACACAGAAGCCAGTTATATCTGAACCTTGCACTCACGGAACTAAGGAAATAAAGAAGCAGAAAAAGCTATTTAAGATTAAATAGTTGCACAGCAAAACTAGTTGTTGCCTATTTTTCCTTTTTTAGCTATCATGAAAGCCAAAACCCAAGAGTTGGATGTGACCATAACGTCGTTATGGAAAGGATGTCCAACTCACCCTGGCCGGTTCTGAGGCATATGTATTCATAAAGGTTGAACGACAAAGACCACTAGTCCAATGCCAGTGGCTGAAGTAGTCTAGGCTCTTCTGTTGCATTCCTAAGTCAGCTGCTGCATGAGCAGGGAAGAAAAAAAAGGGTTAGGATACAATGAGTGTGTTCACTTCATCCTCCAAACAGCAGAAGTGAACTATAGTCATTCTGCAAGGAACAATAAAAGAATTGGGCTGACATCTGCATGCTTTGTGGCCTCGTGGAAAGACCTACCTCTTAAACTGTAGTGCAGAGTCTCTGATTCTGAGCAACACCAATTGCTTAGAATCTACCAGGCAATCTACCAGGCAGACGTACTTGTAAAATTACAGGTTAATTCATTTTAAAGTCCAGCTAAATATAAATGGAGAAGGGAAATCTTAGTATAATGGAAATAAGATTTGAATGATTTGTACAGATCATTCTGGGAACAGTAGGGAATGGTGACTTCCAGGAGTAGGATGCTCATATCATTTCCTTGAAACTTTGGCTTTAAAAACATTGTTTCAGTGACTAAATGGATTTCTACTGACATTAAGTCTTTGGTTATTTTACTCATATGTTCATTTCCTCATTATATAAAACATTCAAGTCCTTCAATATAAGCAAATGCCATCATGACAATGTTTCCTTTTACTGAAAATGATGAATATCCAGAATATTAGATCTCCGTTGATGTGGATGATCATGTAGACTTTGGAAAAACTACAGGAATGGATGGATAATGTATCTTTCAAGTATACTAAGCTGTACTTATATAGATATTTGATGATTATACCAGGCTTGAGTTCAGAGTAAACCTATTCAGTTTATCTTTACCACATGGGTACAGTTATGAATCCAGTTTGTGTTAGAAAGATCTTTCAAGAATTTTGTTGTTGCTCTTGTTCAGAATGTTTTTGGGGTGTGTCACTCTCCGTTTTTAAATTTATCATTTTCTCCAAGAAACAATGAATCCACTGAGAAATTCTAATGTATTGTGAAGGTGAGAACAATTTGGTCACTAAAATGAAAATCTTGTGTAATACATTTAAAAATAAAGACTATCAGGAAGAGGACAAATTTTGAATTCTGGTCTGCTGTTATTAATTGGGGAATATGAATTTATTATTTAAATACACCAATCCTTTCTTTCCTCATCTTTAAAAAGGAAGATCTGGATACCATTATGGATCTTTGAGACAGCAGTTTCTGAATAATTAGCTAGCACGGTGCTCAGAGCATAGCAGAGTCTCAACAAGTTAGGTTTTCTCTCTTCCTGAAGAGACGATAAGTCTTAGGGTAATCATTTTGTCTTGAGTCCCAAGGAAACAGGAGATTAATTCCCTCTCCCCCCATGCTGTTCTGTGTTTGATTGGATGAGGTGGTGGAGTGTTTATATCTTTCATTGTGTTTTATTCTGTTAGTTCAATAGGCTGTACTTGCCATATGCTGGGTATTAGCTGGTCACTGATGTTAAAAAAAAAAAGAATGAATAAGCAAAGTTCTTCTCCTGAAGGAAATCACAATTATTGATGGATTCAGATAAGGAACAATTGCTATTCTCTATGAGATCTGCAATGCTAGAGATTTTGGTTCACATGAGGGAAGTCAGTAACTGAATACATATTGTCTAGAAATCAAATACAGGCTCATGGTGATTTCCAGGATCTTGTGATGATTTAGTATAATGATGATTCACAAGAGGCCCAATGTGTAGTGACCAAGAGGCTTCACAAGAAATCCCTTACCATACTTTATTCTTCTCTGGAATTTTGCTTTCAAATTCATATTCTCAAGACTTTTTGGAGGTCTACCTTTGGCAAGGTTTTGGGTTTTGTCTACTTGGCCAGTGAACAATTTACAAAACAAAACAAAAACCCAAAACATTAGTCAGGAGATTTACCATTCATAATAGTGGACAGCACATTTTTCTGCCGGTAGATAATCCTAACAGACAAGTCAGGTCATCAGATAGCTCTGCTACTATGGCATCCAGAGGAGTTGATTTACTTACATGACTCAAATGTTTTGGTGTTATTTGTTTCTAAAAGTCTGATAAAGATGCTCATTCTTGGCAACTAGAGAGTGATCAAGAGTTCTGCCAGGGCATCCCCTGTCCTGAACTGTGCATGGAAATCCAGTGTTTCCTCCAAGACTCTCTCCTTTGCTTTCATTGTAGACCAGCTCCTTTCTGATTGATGTATTCTTTTTCTAAAATAGGTTAATATCTTCAATCAGATTAATCAGTTAACCAAATATACCCACCATTGTTTATGTACCTTATGATCGGGAGTGCCTGTTTTCTTAGGAGTCTATCAGGTAATGCTCTTGATCTTTACAGATTGTGTTTTGATTTCTTTATAGGTACATGTCAACCTTGTATTCTCACCCAGATTTCCCAGAGAAAGGGCCAGAGGAGATTAATGAAGAGCTAATGAAAAATGTTAGCCACAACCCCCTTTTGCTGCTCACACCACAGAAAGTTAAGAGATACGTTGAGTCTTTGTGGAAGAAGAAAAGCTCTGGCCAGCCTGTGACTTTCACGGACGTCTTTGGAATGTTAATAGGAGAAACACTAATTCACAATGTAAGACACAGTTCCATCTACGATCATTTTAATACAAGTAGACTCTATATCACAGTATTTTGAATAAAGTGAAATACGGGACATTTGGTTGATGTCACTCAGCTCAACTTATATTCTCAACGACGTCAATGGAGTACGTTCTCCCTGACAGATATGACAACTCTCCTGCATTTCTAAATGGTGCTTCTTCATTCATTAAAAATATTAGTTTAGATGTGTGGAGAAGTGCTTTCATAATCCTTTGCTTTGGAAAATTCACATTTTTATTGTCCATTCCCTGCCTCCTAGGAATGGTAATCTCTTTAGATAAGATTTTAAAAATAGAAGAAACACGTGGCATTTTTAAAGTAGAAGAAGAATGAAGTCTGCCTAGAAAGAGTCAGAAGAGGAAGTGGACCACAGGAAGAAACGCACTTGACGTGTAGCCACAGGGTGACATTTCTCCTGAAGATAAAGTAGAGGAGACAGAGAAAAAAGTCTGCGTCAGGGGCTCCAGGGGATAAATATTTTCCAGTCTCTAAAGTTGCCAAATTATTTTTCAGGCTCCAAAGTTGCCAAATTACTTTCCAGTTCAAGTAGAGACATGTCCCTAGAGTTATAATTTTTATTTTTGAGAGGGGAATGCAGATAATTGTTTTCAGAGAGCTTTCCTTTTGTTATTTTTATTCAGGACCCACAGGTTTCTAGAAGTAATAAGGTTTATTTTTAGAAAACCCCGAGCACATTGATTGAAAGTACTACTTTAAATAGATTTTATGTTTTTTTATCTGTCCACATATTTAAAGCCACTTCATCCATTCTTCTTTGGACAGAGAATGAACACTACTTTGAGTAGTCTGAAGGAAAAAGTCAGTGCCGCACGATGTCCTTTGCCACTTTTCACGTGTCTCCATGTCAAACCTGATGTGTCGGAGTTGATGTTTGCAGGTAGGTGTGTCCTTTCTTAGGGCCTTTCCTGGGTCCTGTGCACTGTGGTTTCGATGCTTTTCTTTAGAAGAAGATGATAAGTTTTAATTTCAGCTTCATAATTTTCTCTAACATAAGAACATTTGAAAATACAAAAAAAAAATATTAGGCTAGGTGATTTTCTTGAAGTAGAGAATACTGCATGAAAGTAGTTTTTAGTATCTTTTCATTTAAGTAATAAGATAAAAAAGAAATCATGACTATACTCAATAACTTGTTTGCTATCCACTTCTCAGTGATAGTTGACAAGACAATGAACCTAGTGCTTTTAGGAAATGCAATGTTCTTTTACTCATTGGTTATACTTTCATTAATTGGGTAATATATATTTGTCATGTAAAATGCTATTCTCATTTTTTATTATTAAGAACCTAAAAAGTACTAGTTTATACTTGTGTTGGCCAATGGACAAAACCCTCCATTTTAAAATACATCTCAGAGAAAAACATTTGCTTTTTCTGTAGCTTCACTTCCTGGGTGCTCTAAAAGTAGACACGTCATACTTCCGGGAGCCTCTGTCAGTGAGGTGGAATTTCTGACTGGCTGGTCAGGTTCATTCTGTTTTTAGGAAAAGTATCCAGAGACTTCTGTCATACTGTCCTCTCCTTCCCTTATTGTCCCTGTCACCATGTGTTTCTGAGACATGAGCATGAGACTTTGCATTGTGATTCTGGGAGTTAGAATAAATGGTTAATAAGCAAAATTAAGTGAAGATGAAGAAAAAAGAAAATGTTAGAAAACATTTTTCCCATTTTCATAGACTGCTTATACTGTCAGAAAGACTTCAGTTTCTCCTGTCTCCTTTGTAGCTTTTATACCTGTTGGTTGTTTTTGCCGAAGGCTGGCTGGGCAAAATAACCAGGGGGTGAACGACAAGGAACTTGTGAAGGTTGATAGAGCGGGAGCCGCTTTATTGTAGGACAGTAGAGGTGTATATACATTACTGAATACACAGCTTGACTCAATTTAGCATCATCCAGTTACAGCAATCAGTCATTAAGGAATCCTCATCATCTTAATAATTATACACAGCTTAACTTAATTAACATCATTGGATACCGCAGTCAGTCATTAAGGAATCTTCATCATCCTAATGGCTCCCTGGCATTACTTCACAGACCACTCCCTCTGGCAAAGTGCCAGGCACCATCTTGACTTGTCTGTGACCCTCAACATGTTTTCACTCTCACATTCTTTAGAATTAAGATAGAATTTATAAAAGATATAAATGAAAGTGGGTATTCATTTGGTGCAAATAAGAAAGGATCTCTGGGGGGCTGGGAATGTGGCTCAAGTGGTAGCGCGCTCGCCTGGCATGCGTGCAGCCCGGGTTCGATCCTCAGCACCACATACCAACAAAGATGTTGTGTCCACCAAAAACTAAAAAATAAATGTTAAAAATTCTCTCTCTCTCTCACTCTCTCTCTCTTCTCTCACTCTCTCTTTAAAAAAAAAAAAAGGATCTCTGAACTGTGCATCTTGTTCATCTAGAGGCTTTTGTCCTTCAACCTGTACGCAGTGTCATATACAAAAGGGGCCTTTGGTTAACGTTTTATTTTACTAATTTGATTAAATGAATGAGAATAATCATAGTATTGTTGAAATGTGAATTCTCTGTAGTGTTTTCCAATTAATGACATATCTTGCTTTTTAAAATGCTTTCAGATTGGGTTGAGTTCAGTCCCTATGAGATTGGCATGGCTAAATATGGTACTTTTATGGCTCCTGACTTATTTGGAAGCAAATTTTTTATGGGAACAGTTGTGAAGAAATATGAAGAAAACCCCTTGCATTTCTTAATGGGTAAGTGATCAAAATCTTTCATTATGTTGGCTATTTCTAAATCCAGTTATATTTTAAATCATTCTGTTTCTGCTTTATTTTAGGTGTTTGGGGCAGTGCCTTTTCTATATTGTTCAACAGAGTTTTGGGAGTTTCTGGCTCACAAAACAAGGGTTCTACCATGGAGGAAGAATTAGGTATTGTGCAAATATGCTTACCTTGATCAAAATCATGCTACATGGATAATTTTCACACATACACAGAACATTAAATCTTCATGAGGATTTTAATTATTCTAAATTTATCAATAATTTGGTTGAATCTACCTAAGTGTTTCTGAATAATCAAATATAAGTTATATCTTAAGTATTATTCTGACATTGAAGTTGTAGAATTCATAAAGACTGTTAGCTACTAAGAATGGTTTATACCAGCGCTTATCCATTCCTTTTCCTTATGATACTTCTAAAAAATGCTATTTTTATTAGTGAATGATCTTTTTATTTTAAAGTAAGGTAGCTTTTAAAAGATTATATTTATCAACAGTTGAATGTAGTATGATATGTAAAGAAAAAAATTCATTCTTGTGACAGTTTTTCTACCCCTTAAATACTAACTCACTAGAATTCTGTTAGCATCTTATGAGATGTTAATTTACAGTAAAATGGAAGAAAAATTTTAAGTCATCTTAGCAAACTAAAATTAATGATTTTATTTAAGTCTAACTCATTACTTCATAATACATTTAAAATAACATGTAGAAAACCTGGAAAAATAGATAAAATTAATTGAGGACCAACGGTATTCATTTATTATAAGAATAATACCATAGAAACATATATTTTCTTCATTTTTTTTTTTTTTTTTGCTACCAGGGATTGAACCCAGGGGCACTTAACAAATGAACCACATCCCCAGCCCTATTTTGTATTTTATTTAGAGACAGAGTCTCACTGAGTTGCTTAGTGCTTTGCCATTGCTGCATCTTGCTTTGAATTTGTAATCCTCCTCCCTCAATCTCCCAAACTGCTGGGATTACAGGTGTGTGCCACTGCGCCCAGCTTTATATGAAAAACATAATTGGGACATTAATTAGAACACTCAGATGTGATCATAAGAAATGTTATCATTCCTGCAAGAATTGAGTTGATATTTTACTTGATATTCATATTTAGTGCATTTCAATTTCTACATTTCTTAGTATTTTCTTTAAGAGTATTATTTGTACTTTTGGGTCTTAGTAAGAAATGGAAAAATGATCCTATAATTTCATTAGTGGCACATATCTTCCCATAAAAAATTAGGACAAACAAACCAACAAACAGAAAAGGCACCTTGTGCAGGTGCTGCTCCTGTCCCCTGGGCATTCATCAGGTAACAAGTGGGAAGGGAGTGGCTCTCCTGAGCCTGCTGTGACCTGTACCAGGCGGTGTCCCCCTCATGATAAACAATAAGTAAAGTGTATAGAGATGAAGTGACCTTGCCTGATGTATTTTAATAAACATTTTATCCCGGATGAATGTCTTGTTCTTAACCGTAATTTTGTGGAAGTCCCCAGTGTTCCCTAAATTATGTGAGGATTTTGAACAAGGAAGGAAGGGAGGGAGGATGGAGGGAAGGAAGGTGAACAGAAGAATTACAAGTTTGGAAGCTTGCTTCCTGAACTTCTTCTCTATTGAATAATTCAGATAAATCAGGTTTATTATTATTCTTCTCCTAAGGCAGGAAGAGAATAGGACTGAAATAACACACAAGAAGTGGGCAGACCATGGCAGAAGGCCAGGGAAGAGGAAGAAGTTTATCCTAAATGGTCCAAGAAGACTACCTGTTGAGAAGGCCCCTTTGAGGCCAGGAGTCTGGCAGCTTAGTTACTTCTTCTGTGTAGACTGAGGTGGAATATGGTGTGCTTGGCATTCACTGGTCCACGGGATGCCGGTTAGTTAACCATACCTCAGACTGCATAAAGGTTTCCAGCCATGAAACCAGAGAGACCACTGCGGGCCACCAAGGACTCCTGGTGACTGGTTCCTCCTTGGCTGACTGAGGTCTGCCTGTTAGAGGGGTGCTGGGCCGTGGTCTGTCTTCCTGTTTGTTTTCTCCCTTCTGAAGAAAGACCTTGTGGCAAATTGGACCACAATCTAGTAACTTTAAATGAAATTGTTCATTTTATCAAAGGAGTTTTGCGAATTATTTTATGCTTTTGAAAAGAGAGCTATGTATTAGAGTGGACATAGAAAATGGAAAGTTCAGAATATTTAGTTTTTCATGCCATGAACACTTCTTTAGAATGAAGGCAATGTTTTGGTGAACAGTTTTCTTAAATCAGAGCATCAAGTATCACCAAAGTCAGCAAACAAAAGTACAACAAAGACTAAAGGAAAGAAAATACATGCAGCGTCAGACACACCCCCAACGCATGTGACATTTGGAGTAGATTGTCATTAATTTGCCCTCTCCTTTATACAACAAGATTACTTTCTGTCACAGTCATAAAGTGAAATAAATTATAATATTAGCTTGTGAACATTTTATTTTATTGAATTCTATAAATCATTCTAGTAAAAGTAAAATCTAGATCTAGATCTTTTCATTGCACACTCAGTCATTTGGGCACAAACCATTTCTGTAATTCTAACATGTAGAGTCATATGGGAAAAGCCGATGCCTTGCCTATATTTCTTGGAGTTGAAAGTCTCAACGATAGTTCTGTCAATAGAATTTATAAATAGGGAGCTAATTTCTTATAGTTAAAAAGCATTTATTTACTAACTTATTAGTAACAGAAGGGTGGGGAGTTACTACCAAGACTGGTTTTATATAAATGTTTAAAGGAAGTTTGATTTTTTAAAAAATGGTGATCATGAAAATGATCATTGGGCTCTGTTGAAAAAATAAGTAGTTATTATGCTAGATTTTACTAAATTTGCATTAATGATTTAAAGTTGCTAGTTTTAGTTTTTATAGCTGGTCTTTTAGTAAGTTCTGAAGGAAGAACCAATAATTATCACTATATTTTTGCATTTTGATCAAGTTCATTTATTTAGTTAATGAAAATGTATGGAGCACAAAGCAAGTTCTAGGCAGAAATGAGCAAGGAGGACATAATTTTCATCTTCATGGAACTTAGGGTTGGCTAAAGAGATCTCTGCCCAGAGCTGAGGAATAAAGTCAACGAAAATGACTCGTAAGGTCTTGTTGCAAGTGAGCAGATGAGCTCACCAACCTTAGGGGATCACAAACAGGTCAAGTTTAGAAACACTTACCTGATTTGTCAAAATTTAACCAATCTCTTTGCCCTCCAATGGTTCTTCCATTCTACTACTTCAGTCTATTTTTTTTCTAGATAAGGAAGCACCAATTCTTGATATCAAAAGGTGCATTTCATTTTAACAGATGATTTTTCAGTATTAGTAAAAATCCGATGATAATATATATTGGAAGCTTTTATTCGTTCTGTGGAGACTGTTTTTCTAGCCCCCTAGTATATTTTGGTATTATCCCTTTTCATGGACACCATTTAGTGATACAGTCAAGGAGTTATTATTAATATCAAGATTAACAAATAAAAATTCTCCCTTTAAAGTTACGAATGAATCCATTTAGCCTAATTTAATTTTCATGTCCTGGGAGATTTTTGTTTTCCAGTGAGAATTTGACAATGCTAGGCAACCTAGTAAATCTAAATTAACAATCAGTCTAAATTTATGCGTAGATCTTTTAGGTCTTGTTCTGTGCTTTTGTTTAGTTTACTTTTTTATAATAAACTTAATTGTGAATTTTGATTCCTGAGATGATGCTTCAATTGTTTTGTTTTCTTTCCACAGAAAATATCACAGCAAAGCATATTGTGAGTAATGATAGCTCGGATAGTGATGACGAATCACAGGAACCCAAAGGTAAGGGAGTTGGAAGTGTCCTTACAGAGATCCTAAGAAGAGGACTTGGAGGCTTTGTCAGATTGTCTCCCTCTTAAGCTGCTGCTGGTGGAAGCAGTGGAGTGCAGGGTTCTCACTTCCTCTTGAGAAGATTGAATATTGCTTCCTTCCTAGATAGAGTAGGCAGCAGAGAGATATCCCCTTCTTTCTTTTTAATCCCTCAAAACTATTTCATTTGAGCAAATCGGAGGTGGTAGTCTGATCAGCATGGATACTACAATTTAGGAAAAATTTTAGATGACTTTGAAATTAAAATTTTATCTTTTAAAATTTTAGTAAGTAACATGGAAAAATTATAATCTCATTCCATTCTCAGGCCTTACACCATGGCCAACCCCTTGCCTCTTAGGAATCAATTTGTGATGAAATGGGACAAGATTATCAAGAATTTGTTGCACATGTTGCACACAGGGCTTGGGAGAATCTGAGCTCTTTAACATTTTGCCAAGATAGTTTTCAGTTTGATGTGGATCATAATGGTCAGTGAAGGATCTGGAGCAAGGATAAGGTGAACATACATGTTGCAAGGTAATCTTTTGTTGTTCTGTGGTAAAATGGAGAGACTTTACATTTTAACATAATTTTTTAATAACTATTTATAAAAATGTCCTCAATAATAAAAATAAATAATCAAAGGTAAACCCAACCAAAAAAAAAAACAAAAACAAAAACAAAGAGAAGACTTTGTAGCAACCGGATGATCCTGTCCCATTACATTTTGCATATGACCATGTAGATTTTAGAAGATATCAAATGCTTTCTTGTTCAAAGCATTTGGTATCTTCAAGACTTAAAGAATTCTCCCAAGAAAGGTGTATATATAGGAATAACCTGTTTTATCCTTGCCTAATTATCAGTAAAATTGAAATTTTCTTTTCATAATGAGGCTATTACTTCCTCAGGAGATGAGTTTGTGCCAATTAGAGAAAAGGTGCCTTCTCCAAAAAAAATGAGATGCTTGGGCCATGGTGTGGCTAGTGTGGGGTGGCTTGTGAACATGAAAAGGGGAAGTCCTTCCCTGCAAGTTGTGATCAGGCACCGGGCGTGGATAGTAGAGTGCAACTAGATTTCAGTCCTGACTTTCCCATTGCCTGGTACTTTAAGCAGCTAGTGATTTGCCCAGTCAAATACGCAGCCTCTCCTTAGGCAAGAACCCAGGCCTCAAAAGAATGAGCCTTTTCCTAGTTCCTTCATTTAAAATTTTTAATTTTATGTATCCTTAGTTGTTGAAGGCTTTTATTTTGAATTTCCTTTTTTTTTTTAAATTGTGTTTTAGTTGTAGATGGACACAATACCTTTTTTATTTATATGTGGTGCTGAGGATGGAACCCAGTGCCTCACCCATGGAAGGCAAACGCTCTACCACTGAGCCACAACCCCAGTCCCTTGAATTTCCTTTTAATGAAGGAAGATAGGTAGTGCTAAGGGAATAGACATTATATGCCTGGTATTTTGACAATTAATTATGTATTGATCTAGGGACAACCTAGTAGACATGACATTGGTTGGTCAATTATTAAGTAAATTACTATAGTTGGCCGTCAGTACATTTGATCATCTCTGCAGCTCTTGCTGGGTTTTAAGGCTGAGAAGTTCGAGAACTCTTTGAACACACTGCTTTGGGGTTAGTAGTAGTAGGGGTTAGAGGATGATATTTAGGATGTTTTTTTTTTTTTTTTTTTTTTAAAGAGAGAGAATGAGAGAGGAGAGAGAAAGAGAGAGAATTTTTAATATTTATTTTTTAGTTCTCTGTGGACACAACAACTTTGTTGGTATGTGGTGCTGAGGATCGAACCCCGGGCCGCACGCATGCCAGGCAAGCACGCTACCGCTTGAGCCACATCCCCAGCCCCTTTAGGATGTTTTTTGAGGTTCTCTTATTAGCCTTTGATATTCCTTTAAATGACTGTGGATGTTAACATGCCTTTTCATCTCTTCTTTTCTTCTAAGCACTCGTGAGCACTAATCATACTACAAATGTCATGGTTTTGCCATTTCCAGGCTTGAAAGTAGTTGGGATCATACAGGGGTAGCTTTTTCAGATTGGTTTCTTTCACATTGTCTTATCATGTTCAGATCCCTCTCTGTCTTTTCATGGGCTCGATAGCTCCTTTCTTTTTAGTGTTGAATAACATTCCTTATCTGAATGTATCAGCTTATTTATCCCTTTACCTACTGAAAGATTTCTTGATTGCTTCCAAGTTTTAGATGTTATGAATAAAACCACTATACCCATCTATGTTCAGGTTTTCATCTGAACATAAATTTTTCAAGTCACCTGGGTAAATCCAAGGAGCACAATTGCGGGATCACAGGGTAAGAGTGTATTTAGAAACACTGTTCAACCATCTTCAAATGTGTCTGTACCGTTTTGTGTTTTTACCATTGATGCATGAGAGTTCTTGTGGCTCTGCCTCCTGGCCAGCATTTGATGCTATCAGTGTTTTGGATTTGAGCCCTTCTGATAGACGAGTAGTGGTGTCTCACTGTATTGATTTGCATTTCCCTGATGTCACATAATGTGGAGCAGCTTTTCATGTACTTACTCACCATCTGTGTATCTCCTTTGAGGAGATGTCTGTTCAGTTTGTTTGTTGGCCCATTTTTAAAAATCAGGGGTTTTTTTAGTGTTGAGTTTCAGGTTTTTTTTTGTCTATTTTGAATAATCATCCTTTACCAGATATAATTTTTTTCCAAATAATTTCTTCTAGTCTTCTCTTTTTTATTCTCTTGAGGATCCTTAATTTTTACTCATATGATTTTGAACAAGGGGCATTCCTAACCTGAGTTCCTTCAAGTATATAGTGGAATCATCTACTTGCTCTTACAAAACTAATTACAATCATCATCAAAGTAACAAATGCCTACAACAATGCTTTTAAGTTGTAAAGAACTAAGTAAATAGAAGCTTGTATTTAATATGATATCTTACAAGCAATACATACATATCTGTTGACTGCTGGGTTTGTCTCATAAGTTTTGCCATTTGCAAATGTATTATAAAGAATGTAGATTCTCTGCTGGTACAGAAGTCAGGCTGTACCAAAGGAGAATAATATGAATAATAAGAAACCCGAAATCTTTGGAAATAACTGAGTATCTTATTCATATCCTGTGTAACTTGAGATATAAATCAAGTAAAACCTAATTTGTTTTGGTGAAATACTTTCTTTGTCATATTTGGCATTAGAAAAGTGTGGGAGTAGAAAATAATATATGTGCTTTTAATGAATACGTAGTCACCTGGATTGGCTACCAAAAGGAAGATCCCTTCATTTACTCAGCTTAATCTTCAGCTTAATCTTCACAAAGATAAAAAAAATTCAGTATTTACTGTGGCTTTATTGTGTTTAATATACACTTATCAAAAATTATGACATTCAAATGTAGATTTTCCTTTCATTAAAAACATACACCCAGAGTTTTATATAAGGTTATATACTTAAACACAGAGTTCCTGGAAATCATGACAGAAGGGGTTTAGGAAGGTGCAGTTATACTCTACCATGAAGTGTTCTTTGATTTTTATTATGAATCAATACTACTGATAATGGTGATTGAGCTGCAGCTGCTGCTGTCATTGTTCTACTATTAGCTAGTAGTGTTTATCAGGAATTCAATATGGCCATGTACTCTAGGAACTTTACATGGTGCATAATCCTCATGACAACCTTACATGGCTTACTGATAAGGAAATGGAAAAAGGGAAGTGCAGGTGAGTAGTCAGTAGTAGAGAGAGAATTGGGACCAGGCAATCTGATTCTAGTTCTGGTGCTTCAAGTGAGAACCCAATATAGCTTCCCCGCAGTTGTGATGTGTGCATAGGCTTTCAGGAAAGAGTCCCTTAAAATTGCTTCTTTGGATCATTGCTGAATTTTAAACCAACTTAAGGCATTTGTTTAAATTACAGAGTCTTAAGTCCTCAAACTTTGTAAGCACGGATAAATGACAGGTCATTGGCTGATTCATAAGAACGTTTATTGAAGAACAAGTGTATGTTGAATCCTGTAGTCCATTCTCTTCAATTTCCATAATCCTTAATGTTTATCAAACAGAATAAAGATTCTTAAGAAAACTTAAGAACTACAGAGGATAGGATAGCTACTGTGCATATGAATTGTGGTGTGTGTGTGTGTGTGTGTGTGTGTACATGCACATATGTGTGTATGTATCTGTGTGAAGCCAGGGTAATGGAAGAAAATACTGTGAGAGAGGATAAGGGGGAAAATTGAAGAAGTTCACATGAAAATTTAAGAATAGTGTTACTGTCAAGAATTCAACTTTTACCCTGCTTGCAGGTAAAAGGTAACTAAGAACATTTTAAGAACAAAAGTGATTATTTAGTACATTGATTTATACAAAAAAATATGTTAAATCAAAAGCTGTAGAGCTTTATTTTTCATGTTAACTTCTGATCAGCCAGAAAGGATCTCTTTTTATTTTGGGTACAGAGGATTGAACCCAGGGTGCTTAACCACAGAGCCATATCCCCAGCCCTTTTTTAATTTTAGTTTTGAGAAAGAGTGTCACTAAGTTGCCTAAGGCCTTGCTAAGTTTTTGCTGAGACTACCTTTGAACTTGTGATTCTCCTGGCTCAGTCTCCTGAGCCGCTGGGAAGATCTCTTTTTTAAAAGGGCATTGTGGAGTGTGTGTGATGATCTTTTCTTTTTCCCTTAGGTACTGAAAGTGAAGATGCTGAAAGGGAGTATCACAATGATAATCAAGCAAGTTGGGTGCATCGTATGATAATGGCCTTGGTGAGTGATTCAGCTTTATTCAATACCAGAGAAGGCCGTGCTGGGAAGGTGCACAACTTCATGTTGGGCTTGAATCTCAATACATCTTACCCACTGTCTCCTCTAAGAGACTTTACCATGCAGGAATCCTTCGATGATGATGACGAACTGGATGCAGCTGTAGCAGGTAAGTTTGCAAAACATAATCAGTGCAAACTAACTCAGGGGAACTTTTTTTTTTTTTTCTGTAGAGAGAATCATCAACACTTATTTATACTCAGTTACAAGAACATGCATTTAATGTGTGAAGGACTTTAAACTGCAGTATTTGTTTGTTTTGAAGAAGAAAATTACATCAGACAGGAAGTAGCCTAGTCATTGAAATATGGAGCAAGACCTTGGATATGTTTGTACTGGTCAGGGTTCACTGGCAGAAAATTGGAAACCCTCTATCTTGATAACTACAAGGGGCTTAAAGCGGGAATTAGGTGCTTATAAAATTTTTCCAGGGACTCAAGGAGCAAGCTCTGGGCTCAGCTTCCTGGAGTGACTCCAAACACTTTGGAACCATGCCTCCCCCACTGTGCCTGGCAACAGGAAGAGCAGAAACATGGCCTGTGCCTCATTTCCTCCTTCCAAACGTGTGGGTGTTCCTCCTTGGCTGGGTCTCAGGAACTGGAGCCTGTGGGAATGCGGTAACCTCTGCTCTGATCCTGGTGCCCTCCTGTGGAGCAGGAGCACCTGCAGCTCAGGATGGGGAAGGAGCTGAGTTAGCCAGTGTCTGCAGGACAGAGTCTGTCTCTCCCACTCTCAGGAAGATCAGGAAACATTTAAAGCCACCCAGGAAGAATGCAGTCACTTTCAGGTTTGTCACTTAGCCAAATCCCCAAGAATAGTTCTCCACATCCTTCACTTCTGTTATAGACTAAAAGGTCAATTTTCTTAGCTGTCTAATCAATATATCAGTCTTTCTCCTGATGGCCATCTTAAATTTTTCTACTTTGTAATATTGTCATCTTTCCCTGAATTGTCCAAATGTCATTCCGCAATCATTTCTGCCTTAGGGACATTGGATAGGATTCTGTAAAAACCTAAATGGAATGTTTCAAAATCCTTTTTACTGCCCTTTGTTTGTGTCATATCTATAAAATATTTGTGAGAATTAAGAGATGATATTAGGATTTTTTTTTTTTTTTTAGATTTGGCAGTGCTATTTCTATTTGTTGTCTGGGTTTTAAAGGGAATTACAAAAGGGATCCCTGTTGTTTGAACCAGATGAGTACAAACTCACCATATTATGTATTATGTTTATAGTGTTAAACTCTAGAATGTGAGGCATGTCCAACTATAGACCTGTAATACGAATTTTCATATTAATTATAAAAAAAGTGAATGTATATTCTAAAAATTCATCCAAATTAAAAATACATAGGGGCTGGGGATGTGGCTCAAGTGGTAACGCACTTGCCTGGCATTCATGGGGCACTGGGTTCGATCCTCAGCACCACATAAAATAAAATAAAGATGTTGTGTCCACCGAAAACTGAAAAATAAATATTAAAAAATTCTCTCTCTCTCTCTCTCTATTAGAAAAAAAATACATGGAACCAGTAACATTACTTTTCTTGTTCTGTGGCACATGATTGTAGCATTGCAATACTAATTAAAAGTGTTTGTTTTTTTTCCCTAGAAAATTATGCTTTATAGATAAGTGATGTTGGGTTTTAAAACCAAATTATTCTCTCAGAGCATTGAGATCTATAAAGAGTCCAGTTATTTTCCTCTATAAAAAAAGGAAGACCCAAGGAAATAATTCCCATCCTTTTTGTCTAAAACGGCTTGGCAGATCTGGGATTGGGACACAGGTTTCTTGGCCTTGTTCCTAAGCCTTTCCCTTCTGTTACACATCATCCCCTTTGGTTTTGTTAGTCATTGTCTTGCTGATGTAAAAATGGAAGTTTTCTTTCTGTAGAGTTTATTGCATCTGCCTTACGTGATCATTTTGCCAACATCACTCCTCTATGGTTGCACAGCACGAGTTCTGCACTCCACATTTTAACAACTTCCTGGTAGTTGTGCAATATTTTATGTGGCTTTGGTACCATTAGGATTGCCAGCTAAAAAAGCAGAATTCCCAGTAAAATTTTAATTTAAAACAATATGTATACTGTATATATACAAGTAATACATGTGTAGTACTTACAACACTTGGGGCATACTTAGATTAAGCAATTATTCATTGCTTATCTGAAATGCAGATTAAACTGGGCATCTTGTATCTTCATTAGCCAAATATGGAAACCTTAGTTGACTTGTTAGTTTTCTCACTTTCATTCAAATTGTTCTACATTAAAATTTTTTTTTTTTACTTGTGGATGGACACAATATCTTTGTTTATTAATCTATTTTTATGTGGTGCTGAGGATCAAACCCAGTGCCTCACATGTTTGAGGCAAGCGCTTTGTACCACTGAGCTACCCCTGCCCCTCCCCTCGCCACAGCCCTTGTTCTACATTTTCATCTTCTTTCTTTCCTTCCTTCATTCTTGTACTCACACAGTATTTACAAGAAAGTACATTGTGTTTGGCCCTTAGGATACAATAGTCAACAAGACAGATGTACTCCTTGCTCTTATGAAGATTATAATTATTTGTCCAACCTTCCTTGAAGTTTTGATTCATGGATGGACATATATGCTTTGTTTAACAATGATAGAAAAGTTAAGTAAAACTAAAACCAGCAGTGCTGATCCCAATGGAGGTGTAAGCCAGCAAGGACACAGCAACCTTAATTGAGAATAAAGCTGCAAACCAAGAATATGGGTAGAATATAGGTATTTTTCTTTATATATAGGGTTTGGAGAATAATAGTTGTCCATCATCTTGTCGGACACTTTTTTCATTTGATGCCCTTTGAAAGAATAGTTATGAGCAATTTTCATAAAATAATAGAAGAAAACATAAAATTTCAGTCATCTCAAATGACAGTATTATATAGACTAAAAATTTATTTTTTATATATTTTGAAATGTTCTAACTAAAATTATTTTAAATCAATGGTATTTGGAAAGCAATTTGCATTTCTTAATGTGTACCTCATTAAAATTACATTTTATTCATTTCATATTTATTCAACTGAATATATATGTATATGTGTATATATATGTGTGTGTGTGTATATATATATATATATATATGCCACATGTATATGGGGTACTAATTTTGGTAAAAAAAAGAAAATCAGTCAGTTCAGTAATAAATCCACTCAGCTTTATTGTTTACATATCAAAATTGCTCAAAATAATTGCATTTTAGACCGAGTTAGCTGAATGATTAGTGCTTTTTCAGAAAGTTCTTTCCTAAGATAAATCCTGTTTATCTCCTTCTGTCATTTTCAGGCTTTAGAATGATCATACGTTTGGAATTAAAATTAAAAGATTTATTACAAACATCATTTCAGTTCAAAAAGTTTTCATTAAAATTCCTGTTTATTATAGAGCTAAAATGCCAAATTAAAATATTTTACTTTTACATAGCCCCATTCAGAAAAATAGAGACTTTGAAAAATTAATCTAGACATTATGATGGACAAATATTATATTTTAGTTTACCCTCTGGTGATTGCTTCTACAAATTTAAAACTTGAATGCCTTAAAACAGTCTCTCAACCTAAGTGGAAAAAAGTGTGCTATTTTGTGCCTATTACTTCACCTTGCAGAAAATAAGATAAATTATAAGATAATAAAATTCCCCTCATTAGTTTACTGCAAAATAATTTAAGATCTGTAGAATCTGATTTCAGAGTAGCCATTTGTTAGTTACATGACTTCTTTCCTGTTTACTTTTTGTGTTTATATTATTTACAGTGACACACACCAGCTGGAATAAGAAATCAAGGCATGAGTTAATTTAGGCTAGTGTTCAAAACACAGGCATCCAAATATTTAGACATTGTAAATTGAATCTGTGCGATATATTTATAAAATGACAATCACAAATACCCACAGCTGAATGACTTTTTGGAAATGTCACATAATTATAAAACACAGTTGTGTTTTCATACCTATCAGAAAATCTGATTAACTCATTTACACCTTTGGAAATTTGTATGTTTTAAATTATAAGAGAATGTTCTTTCATGGTGGCATTTATTCAACTCTCTGATTTTTGAGTAGCTGTTATGCAATAAATTGGGTCCAAGTTCAAATACATTTGGAAAAATTGACAACTCTGTCTCCCTCTTCACCGTGAGATGGGATGCTCTGTTGAGTTTAAATGCTTCTTAAAGGTGCTTCAAATATAGTACTTTAAAAGCAGACTAGTGTCTGACATTAGTGTCTCTGTTCTCCTGTAGTAGACTGTCTGGAGGTTGGCTGGCCTCCTTTACAGACATGTGGGAACAATGTGTGAACAAGGAGACATCAAAGCAGATGCCTGGCATTCCATTTGGTTCAAATCAAATCATTTGGTTCAAATCATTTTTTCCTCCAGGAATTGAATTAGGACTACCACATTTATATGTGAAGGTTAGCATAGTATCAGTATTAATTTTTTTCCCACAAAGTTAACAATCCCTAAATCTTGATGCTTCTGAGACCCCTGATCATCTCCATCCATTGTCCTTCTATTCTAGCCACTAGGTCTTCCCTCCTGGTGGAAGCTTCCCTCCCATGCTGCCCCCTAATCTTTAGTTGACCAATTCTGTATCATTATTCTCACTTCTGCTCAAGGTTTTCTTCTCAGAGAGCGCTCTCCTGAATGTCACTGACTACTTATTAGTATATTGCTGTCTATTATTTTCATTGCTATATTTGTGTCCATCTGAATTATCTTGCCAACATATTTATTTACTGATTTATTGGAAGTGTACTTAGAAAATAAGCTCCAGCAGAGCAGAGTTGTGACTAATCCATTCAGTGCCCAGAATTGTGCCTGAATAGCGGTAGAAAATACATACTTGTGGAGTGGGTTGGCTGGGCTACTTTCTTGGACTCTTTCTTGGACTCTGATGTTGTAGTGGGATGTGCGCTCCACCTGTGGCACAGTGGGAATTGCTTGAACTGCCACTCCCCAGTTTTGTCACCCTAGAGGTGACTTTTAAACACTTTGCCCTCCATTTATAGATGTTCCCTCCCTCACCTGTCTGTTAAAACAATTAAACAAGATCGTATATGGGGAAATGTTTTGAAACCAGTAAAAGCCTCTGTGATGGGACATAAAGCAGTGAAAGAGGTCATAGCTTAGGGTCAAGGCAGCGACTGGGCTGAGTTCGTATCATGCATTGTCCCACTGAATCCTCTCAGCAACCTTATTTGGTAATTACTCTTATTCTGATGTTACCGATGAAGGGATTTAAGATTTAAAGATAGTAATTAACTTATACAGTTGTCAAAGTTAGAATCATACCCAGCTCTATTGTCTCCCAACCCCAAAGGAAAAACACAGGGAAAATTCTGTTTCAAATTTAAAACAAATGTTTTTGGATCTTAAATAATGTCAAATGCTCGCTTAATTTATTCTTATATTTTTTTTTCTTAAGATCCAGATGAATTTGAGCGAATATATGAGCCGTTGGATGTAAAAAGTAAAAAGATTCACGTAGTGGACAGTGGGCTCACATTCAACCTGCCGTACCCCTTGATCTTGAGACCTCAGAGGGGCGTTGATCTCATCGTCTCCTTTGACTTTTCTGCAAGGCCAAGCGATACTAGCCCTCCGTTTAAGGTAAGGAGGCTTTACATAGCATTCCACTCTCTACCGTGTTCTCTTACAAGCCTTCTAGATCTCTTAGTTCTCTTGACCCTTAACTTTATTCAACAGAGATCTCTCAAATGCCATCATTATTCTTGGGGCTGGGGATGTAGCTCCGTGGTGCTTGCCTAGCATGCATGAGACCCTGGGGTAGATCCCCTGTGCCTAAAAAAAAAAAAAAAAATACTCCTTGACTTCCACTCATATAGTTAAAGCTTTTAGGACGTAGTACATTCTTCTAATACAGTACTGGTTCTGGTGTATTCAATGGATTTGTTTCCATTTATATTGCGTCCATAATGAGCTTATTCAGGTCTAGAACACAGCCGTGTATGTGCATTTGTTTCATTTAAATCATCATAATTGCCTTGTAAGCATTGGCCAAATTGTGTGTATTTAGGACATTTTTAGTAAATGAAACGAATGAACTGCTGAGGGTAGGATGGAGTTTTTATCTGTACTACATAGATTAAGAAACAGAAACTCAGAGAGATTAAGTAAAATAAGCCACCATCTCCAGCCAGGAGGAGTAAGGATTCTGATAACACATCTGTTTTTCTTTCTAACATACTGTGAATAAGCTGCTCTCAAGACTAATAATGATTACAATAATACTCTTTAAATATATGGAAAACTCACATTTTCAAAATGCATTCATATTTGATTTTTTTGAGGCTGTTGATATTATTCAGACAAGGAAATAAGGATTGGTGACATAAGATCTCATCAACAAATTGTGTATATTATAGAAGATCGGGTTATGAACATATTGGTGTATCCTGGAATCAACAAACAGGGAAATAAATGAAATAGAATGCAAATGAGCACATTTGAGTGATTGGAGCTATCTGATTGGAAGGGACAGATATTAACCCTTAGGGGGGCTTTAGGGGAGAATTTAAGATTGGATGATAAGACAGAGAATCAGTGGAGGGTTTCCAGCAGACAAATGATATCATGAAATTGGAATTTTATGATGATTAACCTGAGGGTGGAAAGTAGGATGAGTTGGAACATAGCGGGCAAAGGATTAAAATTAAGAGATATTTACCATAACCCAAACATAGGATTATGAAGTGTTACACCAAGTTGGGCGACTGTGAACACCAAGAGCAGAATTTGATGACCCAAGAGGAACAGTGGGGAGCTGGGTTACAACGATGACTCCAAGATGCTAGCTTAGAAACTGGTCTAGTGGTAGGAGACACTGTATTATTCATTTCACCAACGGGAGTGTAAATGTCAAAGCTGTCATTTTATACATGAATCAGAGCTCCGCTACTGCAATGAGTTGATACTGAAGGGGGTTTTTAGAATACCACAGTGTACTACTGAAAGGATGCCTATTTTGGAGTTGCTTTAAAATGTTGATTCATTATCAGTGATTGAGAAGAATAGCTGGACATGGTGGCACAGGCCTATAATCCCAGCAACTCAGGAGGCTGAGGCATGAAGATTGCAAGTTTGAGCCGAGCCTGAGCAATTTAGCGAGACACCATCTTGAAATTAAAAAATCCTCTGTTGGAAGGAAGGAAGGAAGCAAGGAAGGAAGGAGAGAAGGAGAGAAGGAGTGAAAGAAGGAGAGAGGAAGAAAATATACTTGCAAAATACATAAAAATTTAGAATATCCTCCAAGTACTTCTAGACAACAACTACTGGAATTTTGTTTTTTTCTTTGTGTGTATGTGTGCCTGATAATGTTTTGCATTCTGCTTCTTTCTGCTTATAACTCTATTGTGATCATTTCCCATGCTATTAAATATTTTTAAACAAACTTAATTGTGGGGCTCTGGTTGTAGTCCAGTGATAGAGCACTTGCTTAACATGCATGAGGCTCTAGGTTCCATCTCCATCTCTGCAAAAACAAAACAAGCAAACAACAACCACTTACCAAACAGGATTAAAATGGGCAAATGGTAAGATATATATATATATATATATATAGATATAGATAGATAGATAGATAGATAGATAGATAGATAGATAGATAGACATATGCAGAGATCCCATGTATATATCCCGTGTGCAGGATTTTATTTAACATTGTTCCTTTTCAACTTTTAGATTATAATTTTGCCATTTTTTCCATAATAACATCCTTGCACGTGAATCTTTAATCAAGCTTTTATTATTTCCAAGCTTGGCTGCTAGGTACATATCCATTTATGGCGTTTAATAATTCTAGATTGCTCTTTGGATAAGATGCACCAATTTACACTACTGTATCTGTATATATGAGTTCTTGTTTCACATTATCTTTGCTGACATAAAAAAACCCAACTACTATTGTAACTACAGAACTCTAATTAAAAAACAAAAAAAGAGGGAGAGAGAGAAAAATATTAAGACAAAGTTCAAAAAGTTCTGTGATATGTTAGGGCCAATAACCCCACATTTGGGGTTGGGGTGGTGGCTCAGTGGTAGAACGCTTACCATGTACATGTGAGGCACTGAGTTCTATCCTCAGCACCACACAAAAAATAAAAATAAAGGTTAAAAAAGTTTTTTTTAAGTAAAAAAAAAAACCCATGGTTTTGCTTCAGTTTTCTTTATTTCTTAAGAGACTAAATAGTCATGCTTATTATACACTTATATTTTTAAACAACTTTCAATTGGGTTGTTACTGCTGTGCTATTGATTATTAAATATTTATTTTATGTCTTAAATATACTAAAGTTTGTCATTTTCTAAATATTATTAGCTAAAGATTACACAATACCTTTATCTTACTTATTTCTATATATTTTTGGTAGTGGGGATAGAACTCAGTGGCATTCAACCACTGAGCCACATCCCCAGACATAAAATATTTTGTATTTTATTATAGACAGGGTCTCACTGAGTTGCTTAGCTCCTCACTGTTGCTGAGGCTGGCTTTGAACTTGCAATCTTCCTGTTTCAGCTTCTTGAGCTGCTGGGATTATGTGGTGCTGAGAATCAAACTTGGTGCCTCACAGGTGCTAGGCTAGCACTCTACCAGTGAGCCACAACCCCAGCCCACTGTGTCATTTGAAATAAGATTGTTTTTATTGCTAGTGATTTGTTGATTGAAGTGCTTAGGTAATGATTTCTCCATTGGTTTTATTCTTGAAATTCATACTTCTTACTAAGGTCAGTTACATATGGAGTGATATTATTCTTTTTATGTTAGTCTTTTAAAAATATTTTAATTTGTTGATATTTCTAAATATATTGGACATGTAATAACATAATCCCCTCTAGGCTTTTTTTTTCTCATATGATTTTGTGATGCTTCCTTTATCATATACTGCATCACTATTAAGAGGAAAAAGGACCTATTTTGTGTTTATCTCTGGTGCATCCATTAGTCTATGTGAAAATCTGACATGTGAAAAACCTAATACCAAATAAGATATCTAATGCTAAAATAGGATACTTACTTTAGATATAGGATAGTAGGTTTGAAAATTGGTGAGGAATCTACGTGAAGTTCTTTTGATAGGAGAGGAAAGCACCACTGTAAGAACTGGATATTAGCAATATGATTGTAGTAGGGTAATTAAACAGTGAATCATTTTCTTGTTTTTGAGACCAAGATATGGACATAATTTTTTCATCAATGCATAGAGCATTTGTTTGATGAAAAGTTACAATCATTGACTTTATTTCATATTTATTTATCTAGCATTTCATAACTGTAGCATTTTGTAAGTATAGTTAAATCTCAATTTTTATCAGGATGATATAGAAAGATGAAAATCGTGGTTTTTAATAAAGGCAACCGTAGTTTATGTTACATCTATGTTATAACTGACCTTGAAAGTTAGTGATTTTTTTTTTTTAGGTCAGAGAGTACCTTAATATTTGTCTGATATAGAGTCTCTGTATTAACTTATCTAAGAAAAGCAGCTCTGTTTCATTTATCAATTTTTTGTTAATCTTTTAGTAATTTAGATATATACCATGTTAATTAGTTTACCATCAGGGTCCATCCAGTGACAATCCTGATGGGCTTTGTCTTATAATTTGGTTGAGAAAATAAGGCAGAATATTCATACTCAAGTCTGAAAATAAACAGAATGTGAACAGTGGGAACAGGTTTTTGGGTTTTATTGAAGAGCAAGTAAGCTAGGAATTCAGAAGAGTTCAGAGTTTAATACTGAAGAGTTTTTCCCTTTGATCTTACTAAAAGTTCTTTTTATTTTGGCACCAGGGATTGAACATAGGGGCACTTGACCACTGAACCACATCCCCAATCCATTTTTTAAATTTTATTTTGAGACAAGGGATTGCTAAATTGCTTAGGGCTTCACTAAGTTGCTGAGGCTAGTCTTGAACTTGGGATCCTCTTGCCTCAGCCTCCCGAGCCACTGAGATTGCAGGTGTGTGTCACTGTGCCCAGCCAGAGAGAATATTTATAAGTTATTATTCTACAAATTATGTTATATTATGTTGCCATATACTAGGCATATATCTGGCTCACTTTTGCAGTGCTCTTTTAATTCTTGATTAGTGATCAGAAGCTAGAACAATGGTTTTTATTCCCTAAAATTAAAGGAAAAAAGGAAAGGGAGAAGGAGAAGAGAATGTAAAGAGAAAGGAGAGAAGGAAGAAATAAGGAAATACAATGAAATGAGCCAGACTTCACAAACTAAATTTATCTCCCTATATTTCATTCAGGGTCAAAAGTCCATTAAAATCCATAAATAAAGGAAAATAATCTGTTTTCCACATTAATCTTATGTTTTTACTGACATGAGGGCATGACCTGTTCTAGAATCCTTATATATGCTTTACTTATCATTCTTAAGTTGGGTCACATCATGGTTTCTCCATAGTCCATAAGGGAAGTATGGACTAAATGTTATAATTGCAGATAGGCATCTTATATTAATTTGCTGGAGTTGCTGTAACAAATCACCTCAAACGAGGTGGCATAAAACAGCAAAAACATGTTTTTTCACACTTCTGGAGGCCCAGAGTCTCAAAAAAGGTGTTAGCAGAGCTGCTTTGTAGTAGAATTATTCCCTGTCCCTTCTGGCTTCTGATGGCTCTATGTGTTCTATGTCTTGGCGTTGCAATACTCTAATCTCTTCTATAAGAACAATTATCATTGAATTTAGGGCCCACTCATATAATCCAGGATGATTTCAACTTAATATCCTTAATTGCATTTGCAAAAAACCTTTTTCTTAAGTTAGGTCACACTTAAAGGGCTTGTGTGTTTAGGACATGGATTTATGTTTTAGGGAGACATCCTTCAACCCACAGAGGTCATTAAGGATCAAATGTCTTGTGCTGGTAGATATACCCAACCTTGATTTCTCCAACATTGATTTTTGTCAGTTTACAGTAACCTTGTTATTGAAGAAGAAGCAGCGAGAACATCGAAGTGCTATGTCTAGCCTATACACCATTGAGTTGAGAAAATTCTTTTCATGCCTTTTGCATTATGAAGTTCTTGAAGCCCAATATCAACATGTCTTTTAATGGAAGTGAGAGGGACCAGAACCATAATATAATGAATTCTACGTTGTAGTTTCCACCTGTTGTCTATTATAATAGTTGCTTTGATAACTTCTGGTGATATCTTTGTTTTAAAGGTTACGTTATTATAACATCCCTCTCCCAATCTTGAAAATCAGTTTTATATAATGAAAACTTCTGAGAATGTAAGAACATATCCTGTGTTTGCACATAGATAAAAATCTCATCTCCTTTAGTGAAGAGTTAAATTACTTTTTGTGTATATGCATTTATATAGATAGAGGTTTTGTAGATTTAAAAATATACATTTGTATGCTTACACATGTATTTATATAGATTGCTATATATTTATATATATATATACATAAAACAAATGACATGTGTATACTAGTATGCCATGCCTACTATAGTTCGGGTATATTTCTGGTTTTGTTTTTGTTTTTTCACTTCAAGATGTTTTAATCATGTTTGGTACTTAAAAATGAGCACAGACATTTTACCAAGTATCACTTGGAAAGATACCTTCCAATTTTTTTTTCTCTCTAGAGAACCGTTTTTAGTTGGTGTTATGTAAATTTTCCATAAATGAGTCTGTGGAAATGAGAAGTATCCAGGTCTCAAGCAATAGGAATGCACCGTGATAACAGCACAGTTTTGGCATACTGCTGGCATTTATGGTACAGCAATCTTTTTTTATTCCCTGCCTTCTTCTAAAGCTTTTTTTGCAAACTAACGGCTTTACTCATAGTCTGGATCATTGTTTCTCAGTCCCTCCAGAGACATCAGAAAGGAGATGGTTTTTCCATGCCGTAATCACAGTCCGTAGTCATCAGTGTTTAATCTTTTCCACATCAGAATCACAGAGAAAAAGGGAAAGTCTCCATCCCTCCTGGATCCCAGTGTAGAATTATCCATCTAAAAATAGCTGGACTTTTCCCTCACGTAATTCCCTTTTGCTCTTCCTCTACATATCCACGCATCTTGGGTCACCTTTGAGTCATGTTTGTAAACACTAGAAAGCTCTTTCTTTTTCTTCCCCGTTCTCGCAGTTGCTTCATAGTGTGAACTTTTGGTTTTATTTTGATGTTGAATAATCATGGGTGAATAATTGTGAACAGTGCTAGACAAGAAATAACATGCTGATTAATTCAGCTGAACAGGGGGCGGAAAAGAGGGTCAATGATAAGTTTTCTCAAGTTTCAAACAAGAAATTACTCATATAGACATATGGGATTAGGGACAAAACTTTACTGTATTTAGCATGTCGGTTTATGAAGCAAGTGTTTTCATATCCATTTAATCTTTTGTTCTCCTGGATTTCTGTTTCTTTGTAATGGGATTGAGAGAGTTGATCAGCTTAAAATTTCCGGCATTCCAGAAGCATTAAGATCAGCAGAGCTGAATGAAATGTGTATTTTTTTCTGAGTTTAAAGTACTAGTTAAAGGCACTTGTTTTCCCTGACTCTAAATGACTGGGATTTTTGTGTTTTCTATCTGACTTAATTGTCATAATGGTCCTGTGAAGAAGATTCTAGTATTATCTTTATTTTACAGAGGTGGAAAATAAGGAACGGATGACCTCTGGATGAGGCGGGGATTGGGAGCCATAGTGAAGAGCTCAATCCCTGTGGGTTGTTACAATCCTTACAGTGTGATTAGGGGTGTGTGGTTGTATATTGCAAATCCCCCCAAATAACTTGTTCCCTGCTGAGCTGCCTTGGGTCATCCAGCCAGCAAGTTGAGGCATCTCCTTAAGGTGTGCTTTCAGAGTGCACAGCCAGGCACATGGCTGTCCATCATGATTCCCACCTCCCTCCTACTATGCTATACCTATTTATCTCCCACTGGTTTGTAAACTCTAAAGCTTCAAGGACCACCTCTGCCTTGCGCCTAGAGAAAGGTGCTAAATAGTAATTGTTGAGTGAATTAACAAACACTCTGAGGAAATAGTCTGTGTGTACTGCATAATCTTATGACCACTTGAAATTTTTCATAGCCTTTATAGCAATTTTAGATTTGCATGGTTATATAACGATTATCTCTCATGCACAGGCTATATATCCCATAGTAAGAAGAGCCAAGAATGTTTTACTCACTGTTAGGACCCAGCTCTCAGCATGGTATTTAGCTACTAATGATTATTATTGATCGGATCAATTTGATGACAAGAATATTCTTTAAAATTTAAGATTCTAATCATGGTTTTCCCCCAAATCTCCTCTAAGAGTTTCCCTAATACTTATTTGTCTCTTGTCCTTTTCTTTTTCTTCTTTGTTTTCCTGGATTTTTTCTTCCATGTCTTTTCTTCTAACACAATTTATTTATTAAATATTTGTTTAGCACTTAATATATGTAAGCTCTCTTCTAAATACTGGCTAATCTATTTAATTCTAATTGCAATCCCATGAAATATGTTTGGTATTATCATTATTCATAGTTTATATTTGAGGATATTGGAGACAGAGACATTAAGAAACATGTCCAAAGCCACAGAGCTTGCATTTGGACTAAGACCTCTGAACCTAGAGCCTGTTGTTTACACTATGATATTCTGCTTCTTACTTCTCTCTCTACCCCTGAAGCTGCACATAAATGGAAATGAGTTCCATTAACCACATCTCTCCATATTGGTTTATGTTCTCCAAGTTTAAATATAATTTGTTTTTCCTTACTTAGACACTAAGTCAGCTAAGACTTTATCATGTTGCTATCACATGTGTCGTGGCCAAGAATAGACCTGACAGAGCTTAAATTGCTATAAATGCTATGAAAAACTTATAAGTGGTCATAAGATTATACAGTATACCCAGACTTTTTCCTCAGAATGTTTGTTAATTCATTCAACAATTACTATTCAGCATCTTTCATGCTCTAGGTGCAAGGCAGAGGTAGTCTTTGAATCTTTAAATCTACCTCAAATCTACATTTCTTGCAAACATGCATTTCTTGTTCAGGCTACATGTGAACAACTGCAGATCAGCTATGGTGGCTCTGCCCATGTGCCTTCTCTTCCTGGTGGGGAAGGACCATCCTCTGATTAGGAAGGTGCTGAGTTGTGTGGTATCATACAACCTGCTACACCTTTAATGAAGCTCAGGAAGCTCTGTCAGGTCTATTCTTGGCCACAACACATGTGATAGCAACATGATCAGGCCAGAAGCTCAAATTCTTTTTCATAAACCAAAGGGGAAAAAAAGCTGATTTAGACAGAGTCAAATATTTTTATAGACATAAAATGAATTAACTTTTAATTTTTTAATACTGAGATAGAGATGGACATAGGTTTAAAATCCAGCAACAGAGGGATCTGCATTCTGTATCATTAGACTTTTTCTTAACTCCGAAGGGTTAAAAAATCATTTAAATGGTTATAGATACTCTAAATCCATTATATATACACATATATATGTATATATGTGTGTGTATACATATATAAATATAATTGTCAATATTGAGTTTGCTTGTAGAATAACTTTATAGATTTTTGAGATTCATGGGCTTCTTGAAGGCAGGATGTATATATCCTGGTGAAGAGCACTCTGCTAGCAGATAGTAGACCCCTAAGGAATATGGAATGATGAAGACTGAGAATGAGAATTCCCAATGCATTTTTCTCTTTTCCTCATAGGAACTTCTACTTGCAGAAAAGTGGGCTAAAATGAACAAACTCCCCTTTCCAAAGATTGATCCTTATGTGTTTGATCGGGAAGGACTGAAGGAGTGCTACGTCTTTAAACCCAAGAATCCTGATGTGGAGAAAGATTGCCCGACTATCATCCACTTTGTTCTGGCCAACATCAACTTCAGAAAGTACAAGGCTCCAGGTATTCTTGCAATAATAATATATTTCCTAAAACAGAAAACAGAAATCTGGCAGGAGAACAAGACTGCTATTAAGCTGATATTAAGCTGTTTCACAATGGCCCTGTTCTACCAGCTGTTTCAACAATGAGTGCATCTCTTACTTTGTTAAACAGCTACCATCTCGAGACTGCAAGTACCTTTTTCCCCTGAAGGTCACTCAAAGATGTAGAAACTGAAGCTCAGCAAAAATCTTTGAGACTTTATTCCAAGACTTTGGAAGATGTGGCTTCTGGTCAGTTCATGTCCTTGTCATAGTGATATTAAATACTTTCCATATCACCTTTGTGAGAGAGATCTTATTTCAGAAAAAAATGATGCAGAAAACTCAGGAAATTCTAACTGACCACAAAATCAATGTCATCTAACAACAAAAAATGGCTGGCAAATTCAGGTCGCCATGTTTTATTTCATGGAAAATGAGAATCAAGTTCAAGGAATAGCTGTTTTGTTTGACCACATCCAGAGTAGTCTTTGACCTTCTCTGTATCCTAGAAAACACTAATTAACAAAAGCAGATCTACAGATTGATAAGCCAGATGCTTAAGGTCTTAAAAATAATCATGATATTTTACGACCACAAAAAGGTAGTTTTTTATTTTGTGAATGGAAAGACAACACACAGGGAGGAGGGATAAGAGAAACCTGGAGCGGCTGGTCTTTTCTAGATTTCTCAGGGAGAAAAAGGATCATGAGGGGTGGAGTTTGTTGTGAGATATACCTTGTCGTGGAAGAGCAACTGGCTGGTATTTTGGTTTTAAAGTAGTGGAGCACTTGAAGCCTAAAGAATCGTCTCTGTTAATCCTCAAGTGAGCAGTTGGCGTATGTGAGGCCAACCTGTAGTCGGATCTCTGTGGCTTAAGACAGTGGATAACGTTTTGGTTTGGGCTCTCCCATGAGATGATTCTGAGAAAAGAGTTCAATTATAAGTTAGTCAGAAGGAAGTGGGGAAGTGATAGAGGGAAGAAAGGCAGACGACAGACCATGTGCTAGTAAACTAGATACCACACAGGGGAACTTGACCTTCCTGGGAAGGTCTAGGAAATTAAATAGAACCTCTGCCCCAGAATCATGCTTCCTCCAGGCACGGGAGCATCGGTGTTTATAGATCAACTCCCTAGAGTCTTTGGTTGACTGCTGCCCAGGGCAGAGTGTTATTTGTTAGGAGCTCCAGTCTGATGGTAATGGGCAAAGCAGCCTTCCACACTTTCAGAGAGGAAGAAAAACCTGAGGCACAAAAACACAGAGACTGGCGGTTGAAAGGCATCTGTTCGTAACACACAGAAATGATTAATTTAGGGATATTACAGATTACGTGGCCTCTGTGGAGCCTCCCCATTGCTATCTTCACGGCTCTTAGTATGTATTATTCCCTGGGTTTTAGAGATGTTTCATACTTTTCAAAATAATGCCATCTGTAACTGTTCTCTGACATTTAGGTGTTCCAAGAGAAACCAAGGAAGAGAAAGAAATAGCAGACTTTGATATTTTTGATGACCCTGAATCACCCTTTTCAACCTTCAACTTTCAATATCCAAATCAAGCATTCAAAAGGCTGCATGATCTGATGCACTTCAATACCCTGAACAACATCGATGTAAGTATCTCCTTGTGACTGTTGGTAATGTCAACCTGCTTTTCATGTCATGTGAATTCAGCAATACCTCATTATAGTTAATCAAAAAGAAAAATAAGGTTCATGAATGACTACTCAAATTTTACCACTTACTCCTCATGAATTATTTTACTAATCTCCAGAAGAACCCTACAAATTTTACCAGTAAGGAGATTAATACCTCCAAATTACCAGAGTCTACGTTTTATACTTATTTGATTGAATGAAAGTTAATACTCATCTTCTTTCCCAAAGTATCCAGGGTATTCAACACATGATAAGATAAATTATAAGGAATAAAAATGACGAAAAGGAACTAGAAGAGTAGGAAAGTGCCTGCAATCAGGAGGATAATGGATCTGTAAAGATATCATGAATTTTAATGAATATATTCATGCTTTTAAATGGTTGATTTTTGTGGATCTCAGGAATGTAAGCAAATGTAATAGCCTGCCCCATTTTTCAGGCCTTGAGATAGCAAATGTGCTTTGCTTTAGAAACTCTAGAAACAAGCTGTTCTTTTCAGTATAAATCATTCCTATCACCAGCACATCTGCTGCTAAGATTTTGTGTCTGGTAAGATTCTTCAGCGTAGAACTCACCATTTAGGAGTGCTGTTGTGTAATGGAGATCACTGGTTCCTCATCCTAAATCATAGTGTCTGATTAACAGTTATCAGTTGTGAAATCTCAAGTCTGTTGGCCTCTTAGGTTTCATACATTAGTTAAAAAAAGAGGAATAAGAGTAAAAGGAAAGAAATTAAATGGAGAGAGAAAGGCATCCTGTGTTGAGTCAGTGTGAATGGCCCAGAGGAACTCATAGTGTGTGCGTAAGTGTTCTGTTTATATGAATTTAGCTAGATTTTGTGAGCTAATGGAACTCTGGCGCATCTAGTTAGCTTGATTATTGAGTTTACCCTGAGACTACTAGTGATAAAGTGTGTGCCATTGTGGCAACTGTATCAGAATGTTTATGAATCATTCTTTAATTTTTATAAATGAGTGAAATGTTTCCCAATAAGCATCAGTTTCTACAACCCTTTTCAGCCTGTATATGCAAATTTATGATTAATGTAAAACATTTTTATCAAAATTTATAGCATTAACCGTTTTCTTAACATTAACATATCTCTTCCTCCTTTTAAGAAATCTTACAGTGGACATCTGAAAGCCTCGTGTTGCATTATTTCTGTAGCAGCAGTGAGAATTAAAGACTATTAAGGAAGAAATCAGTATTTTAATCAATGACATCAAACAAATGTATTTTATAAAAACCCTATAGTACTAAAAGAGAAGAAAGCCAAGGAGTTATATCACAGTAATCCTATTTTACCAGTGTGAATCCAATAAAATCAAAAGTATATATTCTTAGGGATAAATGTATTAAATTTGATAAGTCATCCTAGAAATGGAAAGAACTAGATTATAGGAATATATAAATATCCTATTGAACTTGGAAAACACACACATACGCACATACCTTAAATGACTGTTGTTTTCAATTCTGGTTAATATAAAACCTGCTAAACTGTTTGCTCCAAGGAATGATACAGTTCAAGTTATCCATTTTACAAGAATTCTTCTAAGTAATTTTTGACACGCAGATGAAGAATTGAAAGCTTGAACAAAAAATAGACTGAATTCCAAAATAACTCTCAATTTACAGCTTATCGGATGTTGATTTTTCACAAACTATTAACTAAACATTATTTTTATTTTTTGGTACCAGGGATTGAATCCGGGGGCACTTAAACACAGATCCAAATCTCCAGCCCTTTTTTTCATTTTGAGGCAGGGTCTGGCTAAGTTGCTTAGGGCCTTATTGAGTTACTGAAGCTAGCTTTGAATTTGGTATCCTCCTGCCTCTGCCTCCTGAGCTGCTGGGATTACATTTGTGCACCACCCTGCCCAGCAACTAAACATTTTAAATTGCTTTACTAACGTTTTTGGAATGGCATATACAGGGGAAGGTCATGGGATTTTTATCATCTGTAAATCCTAGATGAGCTACTTGTGTAGCTTTGAATAAGCTAGGCAAACTCTTTGAGCCTCAGTTTCCTCATCTCTAAAGGAGGCGAAATAGGACCTACCCCAATAGCAGTAGTGAATTTTTAATCAGGCGATGTGTGAACAACGTCCTACAAACAGTGTCTGTTCAACAAATGGAAATCTTAGCTACACACATCCATATTCTGTATCCTTGAAGGTCTGATGTAAATATACCCTAAGACCTTTGCAAATGTTTAGAATTCACAAAGTAGACAAGTTTGTACAGGTAATGATAGCTGAGGCAGGAAGAATTTTTTTTTTTCAAATAAATGAATGGAGGCTTTATCCTAAATTCCATGACCATTGAGACATATGTTCAAGTGATACCTCCCTTTGCTGTATGTATGTGTGTATGTGTGTTGTATTCAGGTAAAACTTCCCATTTTTATTGACATTTTCTCTCTCCCTCCATACACTTCAACTGGAAAAAAATAATAAAATATTGGTAAGTGACAGTATATAAAAAGCATCAAACTTTTGCAGACGCCAGCCAGATCTCTCATGCCAACATCATATGAACAGAGCGGAGTACTGATTTATATTTCAGCAACACAGCACATGATCTGTCAGGGGTGTTTGCAAATAGCAGACTCTCAGACTCTCGGCAAAAATCACTTATTGGCCAATCCCAAGAAGACAGTTTTTGGCTTGTGCCTGTATCCACTGTGGCTTAACGTTTCCTCTTGGGTTTACTCTCTGACCTGAGTCAGCTCAGAAATCGCTGCCCTGTCCCTCCACGCTCCTGTTGCTTCATTTTCCTGGGCCATCCTAGCTGGCGGATGTTGCCGACGCTCAGTTCCAGTTTATCCTTGGAGGACTGTGGCTCTGCTTTTGCTCACTTGGTGACAGTGTTCTGGGTTTCTTTTTAGCATTAGATTCCTGCACTTACTCAATCGTCACGAATTCCTATCCAATGAACTTCGCCTCAATGCTTTTACAATTACAGTGTCTCATGGTTTTTGGTTTCCTTGTTAAAAACTTAACGTATAGTGACTTATACTGGTAGACATGTGGTATGTGGGAGATGCAGAGGCTTTGGAGTCAGACCAAATTGGGTGTTTAGATCCTTTCCCCGCTGCCTTTTAGGTGGGTGATCTTGGATGACCTTTCCCTTTCTTCATTTGTAAGGGGAAATGATGATACATACCTTAAGGATCAAGATGGGGCTTATGGGCTGGGACTGTAACTCAGTGGTAAATCACTTGCCTCGCTGTGTGAGGCACAGGGTTTGATCCTCAGCACCACATAAAAATAAATAAAGATATTGTGTGTCCATCTACAACTAAAAAAACATGAAAAAAAAAAAGACGGGGTTTAAGTAAAATAATAAAACTTAAGGACCTGTCATGTGATAAGCACTTGGGAAATTGAAGCAGTTAATATAATTGTGGCAATCATTATTGTTAGTATCCATATTCTCTTCTGCTTTTAATTTTAAATTTGAAGCCCTTTGAAAACAGTGAGGCTCCTTCTTTACTTTGTATCCTACAGAGATACTGATCACGACACCTGGCACCTAAGATAAATATGCAATACATATTTCATGCTTGACTTACTGGGGGCAGCAAGGGTCCATATACAAGGTGCTGTGGCTGGAGGTCAAGTTCCTCACCATAGGGAATCTACATGTTGTACCCTGGTCACATAGCGTGGCTGCAGCTGCACTCTCCACGTATATACCACCACCTTGATCTGGAGGGAATATGACAGCTGAGACTTTTTTTTTTTTTTTAGGACCCATTGATTTAGCAATCACATGCTTTCCAGTCTCACTGGATCAACATGTTTAACTCAGTCGCAGCAATTCTAAGAACCCGTGTCTCAGTTTATTCGGCATATACTGATTATGTGTAAGACAAACTTTAAGACTGTTTTCTCAAATAATTTTACAAACTGTTAAGTAGTAGATGTTATTTAAAATGAGGGAAAGTACATATCCAGAAGTACTGGCACCTAATATTTAATGATATTTCATCATCTTAATGAAAGTAGCTGGGTACCAGTCAAGGTTCTTGTCTTTTCAAAAATAATTTGGAAGTTTCTCATTACAAATGAGGCCCTAATATATTAGGCCTGTAGGGGCAGAAGTCTGTGATTCCTTTCCTGACCATAACAATGGGTGATAGCCGACACCCCTACACCAAAGAGAAGTTAACAAGAGAAAAGCCGAATCAATTTGTTTGATCCTAGTTTTACATGTCATGGGAAACTTCAGAATAAAGACTCTTGAAGACCCCAGGTGAACTCCCCATTTTGATTCCTAGGTTTCATGAAGCGTGGACATCTGTGTAGAAATCTGTTTCTATAAAAAGGGTGTGGACTAATGCTGACAGACCGAGCAGGGAAACCCAGCAAAGTCGGGTTCCTCTTGGCCTCTCCCAGCATTGTTTTCTCCTAGTAGAGGTAGTCCCCATCTGAAGTGGGGTCCTGTGATCTACTCTCAGACCCAGGTAGGTAGAGACTTTCTTTATGGCCAGCTCTAGACAGAAAGGCGGGGGGTGATTAGGCTTTCATGGCTTGCTTTGGGGAAAAGAAGTTCTAGTTCTTATAACCCACTTGGGAGGAATCCAGTCTCTATGACTTGCCTGGGTACAGTAGGCAGTGGAGACGGGAGCAGGAGACCGGAGAGGAGAAGAATAGCTTGCTTCTGAGGCCTTCAACCTGGGGTCTTGTTTTTGTGTGTGTGTGTGTGTGTATGTGTGTGGGGGAGAGTACTTGGGATCAAACTCAGGGGCATAAAACCTCTCAGCCACATCCCCAGCCCTAGTTTGTTTTTTTAGACATAGGGTCTCAATAAGTTGTTTAGTGCCTCACTTTTGCTGAGGCTAACTTTGAACTTGTGATCTTCCTGCCTCAGCCTCCCAAGCCCTAGGATTATAGACCTGTGCTATGTCACCTGGCTGGGTTATTGTTATTAAGTTCCAACAGGTCCAACTAACACTATATGTGATCTCTTTTGATCTCATTCTGTCATTAGTCCAACAAGTGTTTATTGAGCATTTGCTATGCTGAGTGATGTTTTAGGTAGTAGGGAAAGAGCAATACACAGCACTAAAAGAACAAGAAAAATTTTGAATGATTAGTACTAGGCAAATATTCCCCGCAAAAGGCTTATCAGTCAGAATTGCCTATGAAGAGAGTGGTTGTGTCCTGTGTATGTGTGTGTGTGTGTGTGTGTGTGTCTGTGTGTATTTAATTTATGGGTGAAGAAATTGAGTCATGGAGTATTTAAGCAGATTGCTGGAAATCACGATTGTGGGGAACTGAGACACCGTCAAAGGTCTTTTCTCACTTCTGAGCAATCTGTCTCGCAAGCGGCCTTCTTTCCCAGTGTTCCTTGAACGTAGCCTCCTTTCCAGGCAGGCCACGCAGTTCTGAGTGTCTCCTCCACGGCCACAGCCTTCCATCTGTGGCCTTGCTCTGCGATCGTTCACTGGGAAAGCTCAGTCTGTCCCCCCTACTTTTATAAAACCCTGCCTGTCCTTCAGCCCCAATGTCATTGGCCTCTTGAATTATACCTTATTCTGTGTGATTCTCCTTCAGGGTTCACTTTCTGTGTATTTATCAATTTTGCAAATGTGCTGCATACCTTGCATGGGCTAAGTATTAGGATCAAAAATGACAAGGTGAACATCCTTTCTTTCATGGCATTTCAATTCCTTTAGGGAAGGCAGCCATTAGCTCGCCAATTCAGTCATTTAGATCAAAATATCTACTTTTATTTTCCTATATTAGTAATCTTTTGACTCTGTAAAGGTTTTATTTGGTCCTTAAATTAGTTAAACCAACAGAACCATATTTGCTTCCATCAGAAATCTGCTATATTCACGAGTTTGAAAGTGACGCTTCTGGGTGTTCGCTTGCCACTTGGGGCTCTGCATGGATTCCCTGGTGGAGGCAGTGATCCCTGTAGGATTATATTAGTAATTTTTTTACTTCTCTATCAAAATATACCACAGTTTTTTGTTTTAGGCTTTGTTTGTGTGTGTGTGTGTGTGTGTGTGTGTGTGTGTGTGGCAGAGAGAGAGAGAGAGAGAGAGAGAGGGAGAGAGAGAGAGATACGCTGGGGAGAACAGGCAGACCACAGTGTACGCCAGGCAATGCTCCCCCATAGAGCTACACACCCACCCCTCATATTTTGTTCTATAGTAAAAACTCAGTATTTGTTTATGGATCATTTATAATCTCAACTCTTCTAATTTGTACACTTTGGTGGCAGAAAATCAGTTTTCATGTTTTTTTTTAAACTTTTGATTATCTTTCTAATCTTCTATCTTTATTGCTGAAGATTCAAGGGAACTGGTTTGATGATAAGAAAGCTATGGAATGGCACAAGTAAAAGATGACATGGGTCATGTCTAAGGACAGGCAGAGGGGATGGATAAAGTGAGATGTGAGGGCTATTTATCTCTAGGGGATGATCTGGAATCTTGATGCATTTCATGGGAGAACGAATAATATAAGATGCCTATAGTCCAAATTTTAAAAAATTGAAAGACTCAAATTTGACATAGTGCCTTGTTTGGGTTCATCTAGTTGTACCAGGAAGCATTCCCAAAAGTTTAAATTTAGCAATTTTTCTAGTTTAATTTAGTTTTATTTTACATCACAGAATTACTAGTCTCAGGAATTGGGTTATGTTCTGCTGTAATCTTAAAAGCCTGTTTAATGGTTTCATAGTATTGATGTGCCACCTAGTGGTAGAGTTTGTACTTGCGTCTGCATGTTTTGGATTTTTCAATGTTATAAATGTGTCTTCCTTTATAAGAATGACCCATTTACTAGGAACACCAGCTGAGGTCCTATTATGGTAAATTCACTAGTTTGTGATATTGACATTGCTGATTTTTTGGTTGCTCTCACAAATTCATTATAAAGGAATTGACAGAAGTCAGTTACTGTTGTCTTTTCTGTTTCAAAGCTTTCTAAGTGTTTGAAAAGTAAAGAGTTGATTTTTATTTTGCTTTATGATTCTGTGCAGTGAGGGCTGATGTTTCTCTGACCACTCTGAAAATTGGCCAATTGATAAACTTGCTGACATGGATCTCTAGGAAAAAAAACAGATTAAGTTTGAAGGGCAGAATTGATTTGCTGACTAATAAGCTCACTCCATCTAATAAGCCCACTCTCTATCCTCTACCTGATATGCTCATTGACTGTATTCCTTATAGCCTCACTTCTAATTTAGAGCTCCAAATTGTCAGTACATCATCAGACTAAAATTAGCAACAGGAATCCCCAGTACCAATAAATAAACACATACATAAATAAATCCCCCCGGACCTTACACAGCCAAGAAGTGATTGAGCCTGGATGCCTTTGGCCAAGTCTCCTTCATGGGTCTGAAGTACATCCTGAAATCACAGAACTGGCTATGTCTCTCTCACTCATGGGAAAGTAGGGTCAGCAAATACCTGCTTTACTTAAAAGACTCAGTAAGATTTGAGCCCATGTTCTTCAAATGATTTTATGTTTTATTTTTTTTAAATGCATCTATAAGAATTGCATTTCTATGATACATCCCTCTTTCTGGAATATGATTGCTGGCTGTTTGAAGTTGGAACACAGAGAGTCTTGATTGCTGGGCCAGATTTAAAGTCACAGAATGTCAATTACATGTTAGCACCACTGAGGTCTCAGGTCCCTCTACCCCAGGCATTGGACCATGCTTGCCCAGTAAGCTTGTGGGGATTGAAAACTCCGTAGTACATGTCTTCAAGATGGGTCACACCAGCTCTGAAAGGGGAGAGGCCCTAGGTCCCAAGCCGCTCACACTTGCCAAGTATTCCTACCTGTGGTACAGGGCTGAAGCACATGCGGAGTGTCTTAGTGTTGCTGAACAGTCCTTGGGGTAGAGAATAAAGAGACTTGTGGCATAACCCTTTGTCTTGCCTCTGTGTCTGGTGCCCTGAAAAGACTATTTTGTTGATTGTTAAGATGAGCTCCTGCAGGGCTATCCAGGAACAAAGTTTCCTGATTTTCACAGGGTCCTACAACAGCAGTAGGGCCCTGTTTTCCAAAACCCCTTTCCATTGCTCTGTAATAAGCAGTCCCATGAAATTCCAAAGTAGACAAGCTTCATACCAGCAATAGTATCATGATTACTGCTATAAATTCCTAGAGGCTGTGTTGCCTGTTTTATTCTAGTCACCCCACTAATATGAGCATACATAAAGATTATTCTGAGTCAAAAATAGCAAAAGCATTTTTCATCAATGAAATGACAAAGTAGGGTGCTTCCTAGCTAGAGGACACCCAAGCTCTCTAGTTGAGAAGCAGGGCAATTTTCAGCAATGCCTGTTCTCCCCACTAGGAGGCGTCTTACTTCCTTGTGATCACACATGCTCTCTTGTCAAAAACTACAAATATGGATTTAGTGACTGTTTACTTCCCTCACATCATCACCTTCCTTGTGAAGGACAGAACAAGTACAAATTCATCATGTTACAAACACTTTGTTCTCAACTTCTTTAAAAAATCTGAAATGCTCTCTAGAGTATTTTTTGGTCTTGGGAACCTGGTGGGGGGTTGTGGGAGTAGCTGGGTATAAGTCTAGTAAGAGTGAAATGCATGGCAGTTGAGTTCAAATATGTATGCATGACATGTATTTCTCTCATATTTATTAATGAATACTCCAAAAAAATGATCAATCAGATTCTCATTTCAATCCCACTGATGGTCAGGGGAGTTCATTCTGTACCATTTGTCTCCATTTGCAGGTGATAAAAGATGCCATTGTTGAGAGCATTGAATACAGAAGACAGAATCCATCTCGCTGCTCTGTTTCCCTCAGTAACGTTGAGGCAAGAAAATTTTTCAACAAGGAGTTTTTAAGTAAACCTCAAGTATAGATGGAAAGAGCCGTGGTTTCTGATGCTACCATTTGAAATTCCATGGTAACTGGATTTAAAAGCACCGTACAGATAGAGACTGGCTGATACTCACAGTTGCAGTTATTGAGCTGCCTGAGAATGCTATTTCTATGAATTTGGTAGGTGGACAAATGATGTTGTTTATATACAAATATGCTTAGTGTCAGTTTCTGTTAGTTTGAATTTTCTGATGTCAATGTAGGGATATGTACCGGATTTAAAAACATTCCCCACCAACCTTTGTATGTGTGCTCTTTTTACAAATGTGGTTTTCTTTTTTAAGATATTTAAAAGTTTAGTAAGAAAGACTGTCCATTGTTTGTGAATGTTATTCACTGACTAGAAATTTTTTTTCATGCCATGAGACAACACTATTTTTTATTTATATATGTATGTATACATATATCAAATAAATGCATTAGTATGCAAAATTAGCAAGATAACTGAGTTTTTCTTATTTTTTGTCCATATTTTTATTGGTGCTCCATAGTTGTGCATAACAGTGGTATCTATTGTTATATCTTTGTAGATGCACACAATATACACTATGAGTTAGTCAGTATCATTCCCCAATAGTTACCCTTCCCCTATTTCCTCCCTCTTCCTGTTCCCTTTGCCCTACTCTACAGATCTCCCTCTGATTTTCATGATACTCTCCTGCCTCCACCCTTCTTTTCCTTTTGCTTCTCTAGCTTCCACATGTGAGAGAAAACATAATGGCCTTGACCCTCTTAGTTTGGCTTATAAAACTTCATATATATACGACATTTAAAAAAAAATCCATATATCCATTGATGGATTCCTGGACTGGTTCCATAGTTTGGGAATGTTGTTATTCTTTTTAATTAGATATTACACTTTTGCTATGAAAGATTTTCAGATTCACTGCTTTCAAACACAAAATGTGCTAATCCTACATTCAAACATAAAACATCTTAAACTTAAAGGATTGCTTTTCTTTTAAAAGAAAGTGTATATAATCTGTTCAGCAAGGGTATTCATTTATTCAGTAAGTAGAAAAAATATATAACCACTTTGAACATAATATTTTACTTTGCTGATGTTATCCTAGACTACCACCCACCTGCCAGAGACATTGACCTTAAGAATAATGAGGAAGAGTGGCACATGCTGTGCCAGGCTCCAAGAAGTGGCCTGCCTGAGCATCTGCAGGATTTGCCTCAGAGACAGTCCAGCGTGCACGGCTGAGGTTTCCATCACAGTTGAACTATTGTGGCTCAGGAGTGACATTCCAAATCTGAGGTCTTTCTTGTCTTTCTTTGCTCTCTGTCATTTTTCTTTTCTCTCATTTTCTTTCTTTAAGCTATCTATTCATTTTCCTCTTGCCTTTCACATTTCTACCTATGAGGAAAAACAAGGACGAAAAAAAAGGGAAGTTTGGAAAGTTCATTTTCTCCCTACTGACTCAGGCAAATGGCCCATGAGCTCCTATAGGTTTCCCCCTCAGTCCTGTTGCAGAACTGAGGGGGCAGCACTGAGGCAAGTGCCTGCCTTGAGGACTTGGCACTCTGGTGGAGATGACAGACAGACAGACGGTCAACACTACAAATATACATTCGCTGTGTCAGAGAATGACCGGTGTCTCGGGGGAAATCATGGATGGGAAGAGATGAGAGGGAAGGGTTGGAGGTGTATGATTTTAAATCAGGTTCAGGGGGAGTCGTAATCCGCAGGTGACATCAGAGTAGAGATGTGAAGAGCTGAGGGAGCACAGCCTGTGGGTATTCAAGGGAAGAGGGAGGAGCCACTGTGAATGGACCCAGGTGGACCACCATGCTTGTTCAGGGAACTGGGAGGGACCAGTGTGCCCAAAGCAAAGTAGGAGGTATAAGAAGTGAATTTTATTTGTTCAAAATTTGTCAAGACTCTTAAAAAAATGATCTCCTATAATTCTTTTTTTAAATTAAATGATTTATTCTAATTTGTTCTACATGATGGCAGAATGCATTTCATTTCATATTGCACATATAAAACACAATTTTTCAAGTCACTGATTATACATATTTTCACACCATTTGTGTCTTCAAACATGTACTTAGGGTAGTGATGCCTAACTCTTTCCACCACCATTCCTACCCCCTTGTCCCCTCCTCTCCCCTCCCTCCCCTTTGCCCTATCTAAAGTTCCTCCATTCCTCCCATCTCCCCCACCCCCATCAGCATTATGAGTCAGCCTCCTCATATCAAAGAAAACATTTGGCCTTTGGTTTTTGGGATTGGCTAACTTCACTTAGCATTCTATTCTCCACTTCCATCCATTTACCTGCAAATGCCATGATTTTATTCTCTTTTAATGCTGAGTGATGTTCTGTTGTTTATATATACACCAAAGTTTCCCTATCCATTCATCTACTGCAGGGCATCTGGGTTGGTTCCACAATTTAGCTGTTCTGAATTGTGCTGTTATAAACATTGTGTCAATACTCTTTATATTTAATTTATCCTTGCAAACATACCTGTGAAGTAACAAGACCAGAGTGATAATACAGTTGCCCCAAATTTCTAGAGCTTCTAGACCCAGGGTCCTGTGTCCCTGACCAAGTGGCCTTAACATCACAGTCTATGGTGCCGCTAGTAATGAATTAGGGGAACCCCTGAAAGGGTCCTGATGGTAAAGCTGGAACTGCCCAGGCCCCTTGCTTTCCCTTTGTTCACGTGCTTTTAGATGCTCCTTGTCTAAAGCAGCTTTGACAGTTTGTTCATATGAATTTGCCAAAGCATTAATTTTATAGAAGCACACATTTTGACCGCAAATTAGACGTACACACTTACGTTGTTGATATTATTTCTCTGTCCCAGAGAATGACGGGTAAGGCAGATATCCTCTTGGTCTTCCCCCAAATCATCACCACGCCGTGAAGTAATTGCAGCCTGGCTCCTTGCCTTTTGCCATAAACACAGCCTTTCCAATTTGCTTGTTGTTCACGCCCACGACAGGGCTGCTCCTTTACCATGCCCATGCATAAACTGTCCAATTTTTATTTACTTATTGGTAAGTAATGAAACAAAAGCCCTGTGTGTATGATTCATATAGTTTCATTCCTTCTGGAAGATGAGACTTTAGATTTTTCACACTTTTATTCTAACATTGAAAACATAAAATTCTCGAGACCAGTTCCTCTTCCTTTCCTTTTCTCCTCCCCTTCTCGTTACTTCCTAAAGCCATTAGGTAGGATGGAGACAGGCAGCATTGATAATGAACTGTAGTAGGACATCAAAACCTGAGCAGGATTGGGAGGGCATCTGCACAGGCGAAGGAGGCGGATGGGTCACATAAATAGGGTATGAAATACAGTGCCAGGTTTCTCACTGAGAATGGAGTCACAGATATGGGAAGAAGAGAGCCAGGTGGCATTCCTGTGGTATTTCTGGGGGTATTGGCATGGACTCATGGTTTTAAATTCATGTGGCGATACATGGACAGCACTGGAGATGACTGGGGGAGTGTGGATGTGTGTGTGTGTGTGTGTGTATCTTCTGCAGAGATGAAGGTGAATGGGCCAGAGGCAGTGAGCACCCATGCACCCAGAGCTTGGCTTTTGCATTCTCTTATTTACTAGAAGAACCCTGAGCTTTCTAGAGAAGTGATGAATTCCAGGATTGGGTTAGGAAAAGTATGTTCCAGTTCATTTTATTTTTCCAGAGAGCAAAGAGAATTGATTGCTTGAAGAATGATAGGAGTGTGTCAAAAAGATAAGCCAGGCTGAAGGATGCCTGCTGGCTCCATTTGGGACAAATCAAGCATTAAAATAAAGACTGTAACGGATTACAAGCCATTGAGGAATATGACTGGGTAGACAAATCAGCTGATAAATTAATAAGGAATCAGGTAGTTGCATCATCTCAAAATACTTCCTCTATAAAATACTTAATTTTAAAGGGGATCAGAGTAACTGGGTTCTTCTTAGAACTGCTCTCAGCTCACGAGATATACCCACGTGGCTTTGGACTCCTGAGAAGCCCGCACCAATGACTGAGATTGGGGATGAAAGGCTGCCTTATCTCAGGATGGGACATCCTGAAAACATCTCTGATGTTTTTTTTTTCATGCTCTGAACTCTCCCTGGGATTAGGTTGAGGTAAGACTTCAGCTCACCTCATTTCTTCGTTCAGCTTCTTGCCCGGGGTTGTCCTTCTTTCTTCTCTTGAGGTTCACCAAAGTGCGGCCCTTTCATACATTACTTATACAAGAACCTCCAACTTTGCTTCTTTTTCGAGAAAATCTGACGTAAGCCACACACAACAATGTAGGAGACTTGATTCTTTTTCAAAGAATTTACAAATTAGGAAAAAATGTATTTTTTTTTCCTGGAGAAAGAAAATAGAACTCATGAAGGGACAAAATGACAAAATTATGTATATACAATTTGCTGTTGGGGGATTCATTAAAACTGGAGTCATTAGGGAAATTTTCATGGAGAATTAGCTTTAAGTTTGAGTCTTAAAAAGATAAGTAAAAATTCAAACAGGGTTCAGGAAACAGGATATTTCTCTTATGACGTAAAATTACTCCTCCATAGTGAATAATGAATTTTAACATTATTTTTAGGACTTTGGGGGCATTGGTGCACTGACATGGAAGTTTAAGAAATCCTATGTTTTAGTCAGCTTTTTCTGTACTGTGAATAAAAGATCTGACCAGAATAATTCTATAGAAGAAAAAGTTTATTTGGGGGCTTACGTTTCAGAGGTTTCAATCCATAGACAGGTGGCTCCATTCCTTGGGGCTCAAGGTCAAGCAAATCATCATGGTGGAAGAATGTGGTAGGGGAAAGGGTCTCAGGGCATATCAGGAAGCTGAGAGACAGGCTCCCCTCAATAGATACAAAATATATACCTTGAAGGTATGCCCTCCCTGACCCACCTGCTCTAGCCACACCCTACCTGCCTTCAGTTGCCATTCAGTTAATTCCTATCAGGGGATTAATTCACTAGTTGGGTTAAGCCTCTCATAACTCAATTATTTCTCTTCTAAACCTTCTTGCATTGTCTCCCACATAAGTTTTTTTTTTTTGGGGGGGGGGGAGATGCTACACATCTAAACCATACCCTAAAACCTCAAAGTATTTTGAAAAGCAAATGTTTTCTATGCTGCAAAAAGCTAAATCTAATGAGGTGAAATCCAATAAGCCAAGAGTGAAGTAGGGAAGGAGACCCATAGGGAGGTGTTCACATGGGAATTGTTTAACACAGAGATGGTAGAGCTACTATAGTAGTCTTTAAATGGTTTCAGTCTGGGCAGGGAAATGTCCTATGGGTTGTCCCTCTCCCTTCCAGAGTTCTTGGCAGACCTGCAATTGAATCATGCCCTCCTCATTGATGAATCTGGATGCACTTTCAGACTCCTGCTGATTTCAGTGCCCCAGGTTAGCCGTACCAATTGATTGGAATGGGCATAGGAATTG